GTCTTGCAACTTTCTCCTATCTAACACCATTTTGTCACAATTTAAAAATAAATAAATTTTTTAATGAGAATCTTAAATACAGTGAATTATTATAACTAGAGGATAGAAACACATGTGCATCGTTAGCTACCTTCATCTTGGGTAACTTTACTATACTTTTACTATTAGCTCTAAATAAATTTTTAAAAAATTATAAATTTAAACTAGAATTTTTTTTATTGTTAATAATAAAATTCGTAGTTTTAAGGTAGTTATAATAATTCACATTATTTAAGGTTCTCATTAAAAAAATATTTATTTTTAAATTGTGACAAAATGGTGTTAGATAGAAGAAAGTTGCAAGAGACATTTTTTCTTGGAAATTAACCGAGTAAATAAAAAACCTCCGAAATTTTTAATTTTATCAGTGGCGTACTATTTTTTTTTGAAAATATTACCCGATGCGTATCACAGCTACGCCACTGGTTGAAACTAACACCTCTTCTTTTTTACATTTAAAGTGTCTCTGTTAGGCAGACTCCTATAATAAAATTTTATAACATTACCTTCAACTGTTAAAAAACTATTAAAGAATATCTTTAATTTTTCAAAAACTTTAACACCCTGTATCTTGCGTAAGAGACATTTCCGACCCATAGTGTGCCATATCAAAATTAATATTTCGACGTCCCCTATCATTCCTCGAAAGCATGACCGACTTACAGGAACCACCCTGTATGTAACATTCCATTTTTGGCTGTTCCAAAATTTAATATTATAGATATAAAAAAATCAGAAATACCAAGAACAAAAAATCATATCTGCCAAGAACGAATAAAAAAATTAAATCGTGTACAAAATAAAAAAAATAACATAAGGAGAAAAAGAAAATTTCTGAAAACAAATGACAACTTAAGAGAAACTGTATAAAAATTGTGTTGAAAATTAAACTTAGTATTGGTAATACTGGAAAATATCAAAAAGTATTTACTGGGTAGAAAAACAAACGCAAAAACGTTTCTACGCAAAATTTTCCTTGAATAAATATTATTTTTTTATGAGTATTACCTGATATTATTTAGTAATGCATATCTCTTATGTATAGATATAGGTAGTTTTTAAATTAAAAATGAATATTTTCTACTAAATTATCTTTGCAAATTGGATATTACATCAATACAGATTGAGCCATAACAGATATCAATAGTCACGTACCTATTTAATAATATCCATAAAATCATATTGATTTCTTTTATGCTTGGTTAGCTTTTTTAATATACTTATATATTGTGTAATGTTAAGCTGAACACACTATAAACGAATTAACGTTTCAGATTCTAAATTTGCTTGAAAATTATTAATTTTTATTATTATTAACTCATAATTTCCCACTTACCATAATCCCAAGCTTCAGAGATTTTCTAACCTAACCGACACTGAGTGTCACAAGGTGGTCCGAACTGAATTCCGGAAACTTCGGCAGCATATTCTGCAGATAAAAATAAGTGAAAAAGTTCGTATAAATGTATATCCTAAAATACTTAGTTTTGGAGATACAGGGTGTAAAAGTTTCATTTTTATTTCGATTTTTTCCAAATAATTTATGAACTAACGTCAATATTTGGATGAAAATTGGTGTCTGCGAGTTTTTTGACATGAGAAATTTGATTTTAATGTCAATATGACTCTTATTTGTAGGGAGCGCCACCTACATGTGTTTTAACTGTTTTGAAGAGAAATAACTTTTCGTCCGTCCCTGTATATATATTTCCGTGACATTTTACGTAAAAAATGTCTCTTGGTAAAAATCGCTACGAGCAACCGTTCTCAAGATATTTAGAATAGAAATAGTCGATATATGTCATTATTGACAAAAGATAAACACGTTGAGAAGATACTTGTTTGACTGAAATAATACATTTGAGAAATTTTTATTTTTTTAAATTAATCATAAATTTTTCTGTGAAAAAATGACGATAAAACAGTTTCTGTTGAACTTTTGGCACAAAAGCATTTAAAATTTATGATTTTCTCATTCTTATAACTAATTTACATAACCAACATGAGATACAGGCCAGAGACATCGATTTGTGACGTTACCGCAATAGTCGGGCTTTTGAATTGTGCCATATGGTACTGCATATAGTTTTTGCATAAATAATAGTATTTATTGATAGTTTTGCCAGATATAAATATGAAAAATATTATACACAAAGGTATTAAAAAATAACATTAACTTTTTATCGCGTTAAAGTAATTGAATAGCATTAAAATTTAGATCTAGAACACGAATATTAATATGAAATAAACAACAGCATAAGATGAACAGAATAAAATCCAGATAATAAAAAGCATGTCCTAAAATTGCGTTAGCGAGTATTTAGCAGTTAGTAATAATATACCTTGTGATAAAGTTTCCAAATATTAAAAAAATTGAAAACTATACTTTATCGACAAGTTAAGAAAATGTATTGTATATGATAAGGGCAGAATACATTTTAAAGTTTAATTAAAAATAATTGTAAAAATTTGCCTAACATATTTAAAAAATGTGGTTATCAGGTAGAATTAACTTATTATCATTAAGTAATTTGTAGTTCGATGTTCAAGTAACCATTTCCATAAATCGTAAATAAAAAGATAAAGATATTTTTTTATATAAAATACTGAAATAAAGTACAATTTTAAAATTAATTTCTTTAAAATATTATAAAATAATTATTATTGCCATTTCATAATAATAATAATAATTTTCAATATTTATTTTATCCTGAATTTCCAAATCTTGTTTTCTTTCATCGGGATGTTTTCTCTTTATGGAAACATGCACAGTCATATAAGAGGGTTGATTTGGAAAAATTGTAGGCACAGCATCTTCTGTAGGTTTTGGACGTGACTTAGTTATAGTTAATATTGTTGGGAAAGAGAATGTAGACAGATCCTGAGTACTTATTATAATTACTGCTACAAGGCACAGGCACAGAACAATGTCGTGGCATTTTTTATTTCACAAAGTAAAAATAAAGAAACGATAACTGTTTTACCTAAAAATACACGTCACTTACGTTGGTTGAACACTATACACTAACACTAACGCTATTAATTATGTTTTTATATAAATTCCCCAACTTTTTCCTAGCCCGGATACACAGCCGGCATCGCCGGTGTTACTATAATTTTTACCGAAAGAATGGTTTTTTTCGCGGGTACGATGTTATGAATCGGATCTAGTTAGTTCACTATTCACTCAAAATTATTTAGTATAATTCTATTAGCATAGAAACGCGTAAAAAACACAGATTTGTTGCGAAACTAATGAAAACAATTGGTTTGTTTACGACTACTAATTCTCGACCACTTCAGTAGAACTGTCAAAACAGTCAGGCCATGAATATGACGTTAGCCACGCTATTTAGTCAACATGTTTAATTTATGTCAATGATGACAGGTATTGATAATTTCGATTACAAATATCTCGAGAACCAGTACTCGTAGCGATTTTTACCAACAGACCTTTTTTACGTAAAAACGTCGTAAATGTATAATTTTTTCCTCAGTAGTTTTATACAGGCACGGACGAAAAGTTATTACTCTTCAAAACAGTTAAAAAATATGTAGGTGGCACCCCCTACAAGTAGGAGTCATATTGACATCGAAATCAAACTTCTCATGTTAAAAAAATCCGAGTTATTAATATTCATCCAAATACTGAATTTAGTTCAGAAATTATTAGGAAAAAATCGAAAAAAAATAAAAATAAAACTTCTTCACCCTGTACTCCGAAACTAAGCATTTTCGGACATACATTTATATGAACTTTTTTACGTATTTTTATGTGCAGAATATGTTGTCGAAGTTTCCGGAATAGAGTTTGGAGTACCCTGTATACAGGGTGTCCCAATATTCCGTAGAATTACTACGTGTTTTTAGAATCAAAGTAAGTTATTGGAAATGATTTACACCTCTATACAAAATTGCTTCGTTTGTCCGCTAGAGGGCATCAAAGTTTAAAACATTTTAAGAACCGTTATTCCAATTTGAATGAGATTTTGGGAGTCTATGTTTTGCTAAGTCCTTTAACATTTGTCAAGTCAATCAAGAAAAAGTAAAAGTTTAAAATTAAAATGACTGAAAAAAAATAACTAAAGAAGAAAACATTCGACCAATGTGTACTATGTAGTTATGATCTATGCCTGCTAAACCCGGACTCTTAAAACGGACACTAAAAGAAAACTACAGGTCGCACACGAAATTTGCTGGGAATTACCAAGAAAGGCCGTAAAAGAATAGAGTGGATACGACAAAAAACCCAGGTAATAGTTGTCATTTTTGATGTCATCCACAGAATCAAATCTCTAAAGTGGCAATAGGCAGGACACCTGGCAAGAAGGATAGAGAAGAGATGGACCACACAAATTACAGCTTGGTACTCACGAGGAATTAAGAGACCTAGAGGAAGACCAAACCTGAGATGGGACCATAATATTATAAAATTAGCTGGGATAACTTGGGCCCGCATAGCCAGCAATAGACAACAATGGACCCAATTAGAAAGAGATTATCTAAACATGTGAGGGAGGCACACCATAATTGGAAATGGTTTAATAAGCTGAGAATGATGATCATGATGATGACATAATATTAAATATTTTTCAAGATTATTTTTATAGGTTTTCCTTTAATTACAACGAAAAGTAAATAACTAGTTAAACGTAACCATATTTATTCGAATCCCTGTGATATAATCGGTTCGTTCTGGTTTTCCAAATTAAATCGTCCGAACAGAATTCAGAGTATCGGTTATTACCGAAATTTGGTTTGATTGAATCTCGGCTGAGGTTCATAAATGAAGAAAACTCGCCGCGGTTGACAAACCACGCTACGATTTTTGGCCACAAAAATCATCCGAAAAAAAAGACGCTAAAGAAGTACCTACCTAACAACGATGTAATTACAAACTGTTTGTTTTACGATTTTCCGTCTCTGACAACACCAGTACCACATCGTCGTAGACCGCACCAGCCATCAGTCTTACTCTTTGCACCTTTCTATTCTTTCGATTTGGTGCTGGTACTATAAAACGGTACTAAAGGAACCGCGCCTTGTCCGATCCGTTTTTTAATTGTCGTGCTTCCGTTCGTAACGCTTTTACACTAAAATACCCGGTAGTTCGAGTTAGGTTTTCTATTCGAACTGTTTTAACATACCAAGCGCGAACGAACTTACCTTAGATGGTCGGTTTTAACGCGTTCAGTTTTCTGTAGCCAACATGCAAAAAGTGCTAGTTTTTGTGTTGTTCTGTGCATTGGAAATTCTGTGTCAAACACTACTCTTTAACCCGTACATCATTAAAAGGGCTGTTGATAATCAATTCAGCGCCATACATCCCACCCCAAGAGGAGTTAAGGATGTATTTGATCCCTTCCATACATCCCAAACAACGCAATTGCTCACTCTACAACCGGTAAAGCGACACAACCAACCTTTAGCACCCTTCGACCCGTTTGCTGAAGATCTCAATGCCATAATTCAACCTGTACAGGTGGGAATACCTTATCAACCTAGATTAACTCAAACGCCGTTAGAGACTCAAAATCATCACGCCGCAGTTGTTAGACCTATCCCAGCCCATCATCTTTATTCCACTCATCAAGCACCACGGGCTAGTACTAGAAGAGCTGATGTAGCTAGAAGTGAGAGCTATATTGTTCCACATGCGGCTATAATACAGCCCTATAGTCATCATGATGGAGGAAGTCACAGTGGTAAGTAAAATATTTATTTTTTTCCATAGCAACTCTTAACATTGCCTTATATCTATCAAAAATAGTAGATAAAATAATACTTTAACCGCAAGGGTAGATTAAATGATACTGTGCAAGGGTAGATTAAAGGGTAGATTACTGCAAGGGTAGATTAAATGATAACAGCGAGGCTAGGTTAAAAACTTTATTTCTTTTTGCGCGTTTTTTAATTGCTTCCATTTTTGAAAACGTTTGTATTCCTTTTCATAAGTTATTCGGGATTTAAATGAAAGTAGTTTGGATATGGCGTTTGTCGCCTCAGCCTGAATATCCGTTGGCAATTTACTTATTTCGTTTTGAACCATTTCTGACTCCAATTCAATCAGCAATCGACACAAAAGAGAATTAAAAAATATTGACTCCAAACTGACAAATAAAGAGACAGCTTTATTTATTTGTCAAATTACATACAAACCAACGCCAACCCAGCACAATATGTTTTCTACCCGTAATAAATTCCTTGAAATAGTAATTTCTGAATATTTTTTTAAAACATAACTTGCTATAGAAAAAAATATTGTTTTGTTAAAAATCTCCCGAAATTAATTCGGAATCTTTTCGGTCGACGATAAAATACCATTTTATCGTCTTGTATAAAAAATAACTATTAATCACAACAACCTTTAAAACCCTTTCTTTTTGAATGATATACTTATACATTTCTAGCATATAAATCTTCTGGTGGTGGTCATAAGTCCGGACAAGGTGTCCACCAATCTCATGGAGATAGCGAGAAGAAAGGTTACGGGTCCAATCATCACAACGATGTAGCTAAACATGAAAACCATAACGATTTTAATAAGCAGTCTCACCACCAAGAAAAAGGTGGTAATGCTAACAGTCACCATGATGAAGCGGACCATTACAAGAATCATCATGAAGGTATAAACATTGTGTGACGGTTTAAAATTATGATTACTTGGTTAAAAAATGTTTCAGCTGAAAAATCTCAAAAATCGGCTAAGTTTGGTGAGAAGAAAGGACATAAGAGGGGTCATAAAACTAGGGGATACCATAACAAGTTCCACCGGGATGAATATCATCGGGAGCATCGATTTTATGATGATGCCCATAAGGAAGGATATCACGAAAAGCATGGAGAACATTATAAGAAGCATAAAAAGGAAGAAGGTAAGAAATTATTGACAATGTGTTTGCCCTTGTTATTGGATGTTGTAGTGTCGTCAATCTAATATAAATACAACTAATAAATTTAGTAGAATAGAAAAAAATACTAGAATAGAATTTCAATTACTAGGATCTATTTGCAATTATAAAAATAGTCTATTTTAGTTCCGGTGAAAGTAAATAAAACCTCTAAGTAGTAAACAACCATGTCAAATTTACTTTGCATAATAGGTACTTACCTCATAACGTGAGTCTGATATTAAAAATTAGTTTTTTATATAGTACTAAGCAATATAAAACTGTTAATAATGAAAACTAAAGAATAATATAGCATGTCTTAAAAAATATTACTGCAATCTTTAGCAGATATAACGAACTTAAAAAGAATACAAATTCAAAGAGACTCAACCAAATTTATAGGGAATCATCAATTATTTTTCATAATTTTTGAGACGTATGAACATGTTGGGTTTATAAATAAAACTCAGTCCTTACCAAAGACTTTTAATGAAAAATAATCCACATTGCAATAAAAAAATTAATCAGTTCCCAAGATAAACACAATGGTATTTGTTTTTGTTTCTGAAACAAAATGAAATTTAATTTTTTTCATTCAAAAAGCAATAACAAAAAGAAAATTGATAATTTTAATAATCCGTGTTGCCTCCTCTAGCCCTTATGCAAGCTTCTATCCACGCTGACATGCTTCTTATTAAATTATCAACGTTCTCTTGAGATATGTTTTCCCGTTCTGCTAATGCTCTATCAATAAGCTGTGCGAGATTTCCTGGATTTTTTCGACGAGCTCTACCCCTTTTTTTGAGCTGGTCCCACAAGTGTTCGATAGGGTTTAGATCTGGTGAACATGCGGGCCAGTCCAAAAATATAACACCTTCCGTTTCAAGCCATTCTCAAGCCACTCTGCTAGAGAATGACGAGTAGTAATTTCTTCCATTCTCTAGCCACTCTGCTAGTATGGGGAGGTGCATTATCGCGCATGAAGTTAAAATTACCCCAATTATTGCAACTCTCCAAAGCCTTTAACGATTGGTTCTAGCATTAAATCAATATACCTCCGACCCATCAAAGTTTGTTGAAGTGGTAACAATGGAGTTTGTAGATTGGAGGTATTATGCCTCCAGCATATTACCTACCCAGAGCATTACGATCGTTTTCTTGGAGCTCTGAGAACTCGAATTCGATGGTCATCTGATCTTAGGCTAATTCTGGTCTCATCCAAAAAAAAAACATTTTGCTAATTCTCAATTGTCCAGTTTTGATGTTGAATGTGTCCTGCCCAATTCCATTTTAAAGTTTCCAATTCCATGTTCTCTATGGCATTCATGACTTTTGTTCTGCCTCGTACTTCGATATTCGATCTTTGTCTCTGAGAGATTAAACAGGATATTGATCTTTCCACTGCACTTTGTGTTATTCTAATTTTGGTTACTGTTTTCTTGGTTAATATTAGAGTCTCCGCACCATACGTAAGAAAAGGCGTCATCCCGACCGGGAGATTTGTTGTCTTTTATTTCAAAAAGTGCTTTTTCTATTTCGTATGTACTTGTTTGTTGAATATCTTCAGAGACTTGGTTAATCTGTCCACATACAATACTTTCTAAAGAGCCTGTTGACCAACATGCTTGTCAACCAACAAAAACATTCACTAGGAAACTTAATGACGACATTTCCATTCGCCAAGATGCTTCCCAACATACTACCAGAAAATGGCATGCTTTAGTGTCACGGTTAACACATCATATATTTTAAATCTTTAATGTCAAAGCAATACTATATTTGTCTTGTTATTTTTCCAAAAACATAAGAAAAGATAATTTTTTGGATATACACTCAGATGCAAAAAAGACGCAACGGGGAAATTTTTGGTCAATTTTAAGTGTTATATTTCTGTTATTTTTAGTCTTATTTTCATGAATTTTTTAGCAAGCTGTACATAATTCTATCAACTTTAATTCGTAAACTAAGTTTTTTATAAACTTTAGTATTTGGCATATTATACAGGGTTAATCGATAGGTTGTTTTTTTACCCTAACTTTAAAACACCCTGTGCAATAATTTCGTGTGTGAATTTGCCCAAAAAATACAATTTTACGGTCAAAACCATGACTCCTGAGCATTTTGTTTTTTGATTCATGTATGTATTGACATGCTTTGGTTAATTTTTAAGAGCGAAATGAACTGATTACGATCAATTTGCAATTTTTTCAATTATCATTACTTTTTGATGTAATTTTTTAATATGACGAGATGGTTTTCGTGACTATTGTCGTAACGTCATCTTAAGCTACATTGGATATTCTATATTAAATTAAAAAAAAACGTTAAAGAGTGACGATACAGTCCTGGTTTTAATAACCAGTGATATTAAAGAAAACATCTGTAATATTCAAGTATACAAACAGCAAAAAAATGTAAAAATATCTTAATACTGTATTGCCTCCCTTGGATGCTATAACTGCCTGTATAGGTCCTTCCATACTGCAATTGAGGCTGTATACAGAGAAAACCAGGCTACTAGTAACATAGCAAGATGCCGGACGAATTACGTTTACCCGTTTTCCGTTCGTACTCGAGAGTCACTGCCGGCTAGTCGGCTGGTCAGGCAGTACGCAGTTACAGTTGTGCTTGGACGGGTCGGTCATGACAGACTAGGAATACGACTCGATAGTGCCGAGTATTTATTATTTTCATTTTAAGTGTTTACCTTCACTTAAGGTAACATTTAAAATGAAAATACTTAAATATTTATTATTTGAGTGTGTTTACAAGCCAAAACTAAAAATAAATAAATTCTCTAAACCCAAAAAAAAAAACTAAAATATTACTCTAAATAAAAAAAAGTTATAACAAGTGTTCAAAAAGACCATCTTCTTGTGCTAGACAAAAGCCTTCTTCTTCTTCGAGTGCCATGTCCTCAACGAACGTTGGCTATCATATTGGCTATTATAATTTTGTTGGCAGCAGCCCTAAAGAGTGCTGCACTTGATTTTTGGAACCAATCCCGCAAATTTCGAAGCCACGATGTGCGTCTACGACCAGGTCCTCTCTTACCCTCTATTTTACCTTGCATAATCAAATGGAGGACGTTGTATCGTTCAGGGTGTCGAATAACGTGCGCAAAATATTCTAACTTCCGGATCTTGATGTTTTTATTTATTTCGGGTTGTTTGGACAAGCGACTCAAAACTTCCTCATTACGAACCTTGTCAACCCAACTTATCCGCAACAATCTCCTATACACCCACATTTCAAAAGCCTGGAGTTTCTTTAGCAATGTCTCTGTGAGTGTCCAACTTTCCGCCCCATAAAGTAAAGTGGAAAATATGTAGCATCTTGTAAGTCTTAACTTTAGTTCTATGTTAATATTTCGACTACATAACACTTTCTTCATCCGATAGAATACCGATCTAGCTTTCTCTATACGTTGCTTGATTTCCTTGCTCATATCCCAATCGTTATTAATGTTAGAGCCCAAGTAGGTGATATTATCAACTTGCTCAAGGTCGACTCCATAAGCTGTTATTGGTATCGGATTTATAGGATGTTTACTAACGGTCATAAGCTTAGTCTTTTGAGTGTTAAGTTTTAACCCATACTCATCGCATGTACTTGTAACTCTATCCAACAGCAACTGCAGTTCTTCCGGACTACTGGCTAACAAAACGGTATCGTCAGCATATTTTAAGTTGTTGACATTAACTCCATTCACTTTGACACCGCCATCGATTTCCTCGAGCGCCTCCCTGAAGATGAATTCAGAGTAAAGATTAAAAAGTAGTGGCGACATAATGCATCCCTGTCGCACACCTCTACGGATTGCTATTGTTTCCGAGGTATTTTTGCCAATTTTAACACTTGCCTGCTGATTCCAATAAAGGTTTCTAATTATTTGGAGATCCTTATCATCAATGCCCACTTCCCGTAAAATCGCAACCAATTTATCATGTTTTACCCTGTCAAATGCTTTTTCGAAATCAATAAAGCACATAAAGACAGGGTGATCGACATCTCTGCATCTTTGAACAAGGACTTGGATGCAAAAAAGTGCTTCTCTAGTTCCAAGATTGTTGCGGAATCCGAACTGTGTCTCGCTAATTTGTTCCTCTATTTTGGCATATACTCTTGAATGTATAATTCGAAGGAAAATTTTTAGGACGTGGCTCATTAAACTGATAGTTCTGTAATCAGAGCACTTCCTAGAGTTTCCCTTTTTGGGGATCATTACGAATGTTGACTTGATCCAGTCAGTTGGTATAACTCCGGATTCGTATATTTTGTTAAAAAGCGATAGTAGCGACTGTTTTCCTTTAATATCGAGACATTTGAGTATTTCCGATGGTATTTCATCCGGACCCGTTGCCTTTCTATTTTTTGCTGTTTTTATAGCCTTCTCTAGTTCACCCATTGTTATCATAGGGCCTGTATTACATTGTTGTATCACATTTTCTATTCTCTCGTCATCAAACAATTCTTCGATGTACTCTTTCCATCTTCTCAGTTTATCAATGTCATTTACAATGAGATTACCATCCTTGTCAACAAGGTTATGAGTTCTGTTGGTATTCACACCCGTTAACTCTTTAACCCTCTTATGTAAGTTGAAGGTATCATGTCTCTTCTGTAACTCTTCAACCTCCTTACATTGATTCACAAACCATGCCTCTTTTGCCGCTCGTATTTTCTTCCGAATTTCTTTATTAATAAGTTGGTACTTTTGTTGGTCTTGATTTTTAAATGATCTTCTTTCCTCCATTAGGTGCAGAATATCGTCATTCATCCAATTCTGTTTCTTCTGTTGGGCTATAGGTATATTAGATGTTGTTTCTGATACTATATTTTTAAACTTATTCCAGTGGTCTTCAATGTTGCAGTCAAGTATTTTTTCCTCACACTTATTTTCCAGAGTGTTCATAATTACCTCGTGATTGTCCCGTATATAGTCGACATTTAACTTTTTTGACGGTTGTTTTCTTTCGACTTTCTTTAATCTGAGCTTGAACCTCGCTACTAGGAGGACATGATCTGAAGGGACATCGGCTCCAGGAAAAGTTTTGACTGCCTGTACTGAGTTTCGGTAACGTTCATTGATGGTGATATAGTCAATCTGATTTCTGACAGGTTTCTCTGGACTATCTGATGGATGTTTCCAAGTATAGAGCCTTCTCTTCGGGAGTTTGTAGAAGGTGTTCATAATACACAAATTATTATCCCTGCAGAATTCAACAAATCGGTCTCCTCTCTCATTACGTATACCGAGTCCAAAGTCACCTACGACCTTATCCTCTCTACCTTGGCCAACTTTGGCGTTGAGGTCTCCCATAATAATGGTAATATCTTTCTTCTTGATTTTGTCAGTGACGCTCTTGATGGTATCGTAGAATTTTTCAATTTCCTCCTCGTCACTGACTGAGGTTGGTGCATATACTTGAATAAGGTTGATGTCAACAGGTCTCGAGTTCAGTTGTAACATAATGACCCTATCAGAAACGTAACACACGGATTTAACGCACTTCTCGACATGTTTGGAAACTATAAAAGCAACACCATTGATATGATAGTTACTGTCCTCTCCTGAGTAGTACACAGTATGTTCTTCTATGTTGCATTTACCGGAGTTTGGCCAGCGCATTTCACTAACCCCTAGGATCGGGATATCGAGTCTTTTCATCTCCTGTATTGTGTTATGGGTTTTTCCCGCTTCGTATAGACTACGTAGGTTCCAAGTACCTATCTTAAGTTTGGATTTAAGGTCAATTGTGGCCGAACGGGAGATTCTTCGCACCCCTGCCCCATTTAAGGGGCGCCCGTACTCGGGGCCGTTTTTTAATTCTTCAGCCATAATGATAATCCTGGGGAAAGGTCTCATACATCAGGTAGTTTCCCGTTGCTTTCCTGATGCGTAAGTTCAGCCGCCCACTATGGATCAGACGCTGTTGGCAGCCGCCCACTCTGGGTCAGACGCTGCACCGTTGTGGTCTTACTTAGCTTCACCTTCGTCACTTCGAGACCTTACCGGCAAGGGTGGCCCTACCAGTAGCTACGCTACCGCCGGCATCGCTCCCTGGACATTGAAGGTTACTGAGCCCCACTCACCACGTCAAGGTGAAAGACCCCGAGGGACAAAAGCCTAGGCGGTCGTAAAATCCCCGTCTGACATTGGCTAATATATTAGAGCTAATAGTTTGGAAAGCCTCTCGTATTTTTACTTGAAGCTCATCCAGATTATTAGCCCTAATATGACCATACACTTTGGATTTTACATAACCCCACAAAAATAAGTCATTGGGAGAAAGATTTGGTGATCTAGCGGGCCACAAAATAGTTCCATATCCAGTAATTAAACGGTTAGGAAAAGTATTGTTCAAATATTCGTGAACAATACGGGCATTGTGGGCAGGACAACCACCTCAGCAATTTGATTACTTGAAAACGAGGGATTTTGATCCGCGGGAGCACAAATCAACACTTGCTTAAACTCCTGTTCTTCATTAATCAACACATCAGACTTTTTGTGTTTTTGTAGGAACACGCACACATGTGTTTCAAAATTATTAATAATTCTTGATACAGTAGAGGTAAAGATGGAATTGGCCTGTCTACAAAAGTTTGTGGAAGAATTGTTTGTATATCCCGATAAGACCTATTTTGGAAATACCATTTTTCAATTTGAATTTTCTCACGAACTTCGTAAACATCCATTATTTTACTTAAAACATAAATTTTACACGAGAACTGTCGCGAGAATCTATGTATTCGTTTTGGCTATTAAAACACGAATAAATACAAATTCTGAAACATTTTTATCACATATCTACCTATTTTTAGTTTATCGCATTTCTTCGCCTGCTTTTTATCCGGCGGACGGGTATACGCTAATTCGTCCGGTTCTGCCTATGTTACTACTACGGTGGTCCGGTCTGTATATCATATTGCGTTATGCTTTTCCATTCTCCTGCGAAGTTCATTTAATGAAGCTGGTACCGCTTTGCGACCTCTAACCCTTCTGCCAGGCATGTCCCAAACGTCGAACATGATGGGCAGTTCATAGTAGCCACAATAATCTCCAAAGTCACCTTGTCATATTGAAAAATAACTTCAAAAAGAAATGATAATTGAAAAAATTGCAAATTGTTGATGGCGAGTTCATTTCGCCCTTAAAAATTAACCAAGGTATGTATTGACATAATCCAAAAAACAAAAAGCTCAGGAGACATGGTTCTCACCGTAAAATTATATTATAGGAAAATTTACACACGAAATTATTGTACAGGGTGTTTTAAATTTAAGGTAAAAAAACAACCAATCGATTAACTCTGTATAATATGCCACATACTAAAGTTTATAAAAAAACTGAGTTTACGAATTAAAGTTGATGTAATTATATACATAAAAAAATCATGAAAATAGGGCTAAAAATAACAAAAATATAACACTTTAAATTTTACCAAAAATTTCTCCGTTGCGTTTTTTTTGCATCTGAGTGTAGATTTCTGTGTCTGGTAATGTTCTATCCTTATTTAATATTTCTATAATTATTAGTGTTAAGTTTTGACAAGTTTTATGATAATGTTTAGTAAATGACATCTAGAGAATGACCTCGCCAAAATTATCATCGATTGTCATTTTCATAGCTGCCGTATTTAACGCCGATTTTTTTGTATTGAATAAAATCGATTATACGATTGTTTTTTTTTGTGTTATTAATACAATAAATAATTTCAAAAAATGAATTCTAGGAGCCCATAAAGATGGCGCCAGCCACAAATCAGGCAAAAGCGAGAAACACCACGGCAAAGAGGGAGATACGGACAAAGGCCACGTCGAAAATGAACATAAAGGGTTCAGCAAGGAGAAGGGCAAGAAAGCTTATCACAAACATTACAGCGATCACGGTAAAAAGAAGGCTGTACATAAAGGTAGAAAACATGGATACACCCATGGAAAGAAACAGTGATACGTATTTTCATACTGAATTAAATTTAATTGCCTTAATAGGTATTGTGATGAAGGTACAGTAAACTTGCCACTTCGTAAAACAATTTTGTATTAATCTTCTTAAGTCCCATATTCAATATTCGCTGATCCAGGGTGAGATAAAATTAATATTGAACACTGGTCTTCTTTAAAAGCAAGTTACTCTTTTGTTTTAAATGGAACACCCAGTATATTGTTCCGATATTCAATGGGGAATTCATGTCTCTTCTAAATACTATTAAGGTTGCCTACCCCTCAAACAAAGATGTTTCTAGATATTTTTATTTTTATGATTTTGTGTCATTAGATTTTTAGAATTTCATAAAATCCAGGTGGTTGTGATATACCTGACGTTACCTACTTCGACATAGCTGTCAAATTAGTTCAACTTTAACAACTAGTTATCATTTTGTGTCAGTCAAAATTCATAGAAATTTGCCGAAAATGGGAACTTATTCTACATCAGACAGAACTGATATATGATTCTATTAATTCGTGACTGCAATGTACGTTCACCAATTAATAAATGCTTAAATGCTCCTGATTTATCTAACCTGGACCTTGTTTATAGGGATATGTTAAAGATAATGCTTACAAAACTCGACCAACCACTGTCGACGACACGATAGAAATGATTGTGTTCGAAGTAGAACTCCACATACGCCTCAACAAGAAATGATCGTTTGAAAAGAGAATAATTTTATTCAGTCTACAGGAAAAGAGGCATTTGATTTCAGTTATTCAAAGGATTTCAGCTAGCTAATTTTTGTTACATAATTATACGTTTACATCTAGTTATTACCGTTGAATATTTTCCTCTATATCCTTTAGTTTTTGTTAAATTAACGAAAAGTATATCACAGCCATCTAGATTTTATGAAATAATACAGATCTTACTGACGCAAAATCATAAAAATTAACATATCTAGGAAAATGTTTGTCTATAAGGGATAGGCAACTCCAGTATTTTGAAGATATATGAATTCTCCATTGAATATCGAAATAATATACTGGGTGTTCTATTTAAAATAAAGGAGTAACTTCCTTTTAAAAGTGACCAATGTTCAATATTAATTTTGTTTCACCCTGTATAACTTGTCGGGCCAAATTTTAATGTGATTTGCCATACAATAATTATTTTAACTAAATATCAGGCTATAGAGGGTAAATTACGTTTTAGGTAGCTGCTATTGAAATTTAAAATTTATTCTTCATTTTCACAAAATGAGAAATATGTCAAAAACCTTACATTTTAGGCATATGCTTTTTTAATGAAACTCACCTTTATTTTTTTTATAGAATCCAAAAATTAATTAATATAGAGGGTATTTCATTACAAGACATCCAAGTTTGATGCGATTTGTTAAAGTTTCAGTATTCGAATCAGCCAATACTCAATATGGGGCTGTGGATTTAGTACGATTAACTTGTATTATATTCTTTGGAGAATTATATTTGATTTAATTATATTGACAAAAATTGTTCGAACTTTTGCAGTTAGCGTATTTCGAGAACGAAAAAAAAAATATTTTTCGAATACTAAAAGATTCAGTCGCTTTTCATTATCAGAAATACGTAGCTCAAGAAAGCAACGTTCTTACTAAAATTGTGTGGTAAGTTTGCTATTTGACACTTTTAAAGGCTTTAGAAGAATAATTTGAGATTGGTTAACAAATGATTTCATTAAAAGTTGAATGACATCTTTTTTAATTTCAAAATCAGTTTTATCATCTTTTGAAATATGAGATAAATTTAAATGACAGAATTTATAAAATATCTTCTTGATTATCCTGCCAAAGTGGTTATTCAATGCTTTAATGGTAAGATTGTGTATTTGTAAATATAATGAAAGTAAGGTTTTTTGCATAGTCTATTTGTGATCTAAAAAATAGATTAATGTAACCAAAAAACTGTATTTTTTACTCAGTGATATAAACTTTATTCAAAAATAGGTTCAACATAATTTATTCTATTTTAGGTTTTTATTAATTTTTGCATTCCTACAATTGAAAATAACAACTAAATTCATACTTTTTGGTCTTATGTCTTTTATTAATAATTAGTTTTGGGGCATGGTACCTTTTGAACTCTTAGGTTTTTAAATCCCATTTAATATCTTTATAAAAAATACTAGTTGAAGCCTGGCGCATCCGCCACGACATGCGACACCAGGAAAAAAATACTTTTTATATATTTTTTTTAATTAAGTAGATTATAATAAATGGAAATTTAATTTTTTATTTACTTAATCCATTTTGATGATAATACTAATAGACTTATTTTGAAATACTAGAGATATGATGAGAATTAAAATTATATTATTTATTATTACACAATATTTAGGTTTTCAGCTAAAACTTTTAAGTGCTTACAGCCAACTTGCAAATATTTATAGCACACCATATGTATTTTTGTTCACTTCATACATTTATTGCTCATTTTATATCTAATCTATTTTATTTATATGTACTTTATTGTTATATCCTATTTCTGTAAATTAGATTGTTATTTTATACGGTTCCTAGTTATAGATAAAATATAACTATTTTTTATTTAAAAAAATGTGGTTTAATTTTATGTCTTTTTGTTTTATGAAATGCCATGGCTGTGTTAAAAACACTAATTATTTTTAATAAAGGAGCCTTGAAAAATAGATTTGATCGTCTAATGCATAGATAAAAGAAAATAATCTTCTATTAAGATAGATATGAAACTTAATAGTAAAATTTTGGGTCAAAGCGCCCCTCCGTGTTCTTAGTAGAGGCTACGTTTGACCCAGCGCCTTCGCCTTTTCTGCTGTAAATATTTTTTATGTTTATATTTGATTTCAAAGGATTTAGTTTTAAAGTTACACTGATATATTAGTATATCAGAGTAACTTTAATAAAACATAAGAATATATATATATATATATATATATATATATATATATATATATATATATATATATATATATATATATATATATATATATATATATATATATATATATATATATATATATATATTTTACAGTTATTAAATATAAATTTTGACTACAAGGTAGAAAGTAAATTACAATATTTGATAAAACTTATAAGTATACCATTTTTACAGTTAATAAATAATAAAACTATTTCTGACTATGATATTTAAAATTTTGATAGATAGAATATTAAAAAACATACCGGTATTTGCAGACGCAGGCCCAAATTCAATAAAAACCAAAATTTTTCCTGCGAAAATCGGGCTTTTTTCACAGAAAAGGTATTTTCATAGATAAATGAAACAAGTTTAGATTGGAAAGTACCCATAAGGACAATGTAAACACTATTTGGCGCTATTCTTGCAACAGTCGCGACCCAAAACTTGAAAATTTCGGAGCGGTTCGGCTTTTTCCGGAATTATGTCGCCAAATATTGTTTATTCAAATTTATTATAATTTTCGTTTAATTTTATAAATAAAAGACAGTGTGTTGCATACAAGAAACTTTATTTTATATAAGGACGCATGTATGAAATACCTATGAAACATTGGAAACCGACGTTATACCACGATCCAAGATGGTGTTTGCAGTTCACAGTTAACAGCACAGCTTTTTAAGTTTCTAATGCCACTTTTTCACAATTATCACCGGTTGGAGTAAATAAAACTTGAATTAAACTCACAAGATAGCAATTATTACTTTGAAAATGGACGCTATAAACACTTTTCGGAATTTCTTTAATGAGAGCGGTTTAGATTTTGAAAGATTATTATGATTTTTGAAGATTCTGACTTTGACAAGAGAAAATTATTTCTGTTTTTGTTTGCCGTTGTTCTTAGCGACCGCTATAGCAGCGCCAGATCGCGTATAACGGTCGCGACCCAAAATAATTTCGCGACCTAAAATTTTTACGGGCTTTCCAATCCAAACTTGTTGCATTTATCTATGGGTATTTTTTGATTTATCAACAATCATTGTCAAGTTGACAATATACAGGGTGTTTTCTAATTAGTCTAAAAAATTGTGGTGTGATTCCTCATTCACAATTTTTATATAACCATTGGGTCTAAAGTACTTCCTTTCTGATCTACAGGGTGTTAAAAATTAAAAAAAAAATCGATATTTTGCTTAACATAAATGGTACACGACTGCTTTTTTAAAAAAAATATATTTTTTTCTTGACTGACCATCCTTTTTCAACAAAATTGATCTTTTGAGTTTTCCTTGTTCGTCAAACGGTTGCCGAGAAAAAAATAAATATACTTATTAAGAGCCCGCTTTAAGCCGTTTTCTAATGATTTTTTATTTTTTAGATTAATTAGGAAACACCCTGTATATGCATATCACAGGCAACCAAATAACCTAGTAACCTCTAAACATTATTTTTCCTACCACTAGCGACATACCGTGTTTTTAGTGAGTACTAAATTATTTTATTAAAATTTCACCATATAAGTTTCCAGGCAATGATCTAATGTTTTTAGTATCTTTGTCCTGGACGCTTACAAGATGCCCAAGTCCAATATGTCCAAGTCCAAGGAACCAGGGTGGCTCATTAGCATATTTGGAAAAAAACTTTTTTTACGAATAATTTGGTAACACACACTTGGTATTTCGATTCAAATTGTCGTTATGAACCGCATGTTACAATTTTAAATAAACCTTGTGCCATTTAAAAATTAAAAGTTGTAGGTAGTCATTTCCGGTGAGACAGGAAGTTACCAAAAACAATTGAATACGTCAAGCAATGCTAATTTATGTGATTTACTAACATACAAAGTTTTTTTTATCTGAAAAAATAAAGAAGTTATAGGGTGAGCCACTTTTGAGACGCACCCTGTAGTTATGCTCAAAATTCATGAAGCTATTTTTGATTTTGGAAGATTTGCACTATTTTTTATTTAAACATTTGTTTAAATAAAAAATTGTTTCATTTTAAACTACAAAAATCGAAAGACATGAAAAAAAAATATCAGATATATTTATAATGTTAATTATTTAAAAAAATTGTATACATGGAAGTAAAGAGGCAGGAAAATGTTGAAAACCCATGTATAAATTAACTGAGAGTCTATGTGCCCGTTTGGTCTCGGTTAGCAATTCTAGAAAGAAATGAAATGTGGTAATATTACAATATTTCCTAATTATACAATCTCATAAAATTTGAAAACGTTCAGATATCTGCGGTATTTTAATATATTTCTTTTACATTTGCTCTCAATAAAAGACGTAGTTTTTATCAAAGTCGAGCACTTTTCTTCAACGTTACGTCACTTAGATAATATCAAAAGCTAACAAAAACCAGTCTTAAATCCTGATAATTGACTTTTATTGAATAATTCTGAATCTCGGCCGCTGGCTGCATAAATGATTTATTTTCATGCTTGAAAAGTATGATAGGTATGAAAAACAGGACGACAGTTTACGTGAAAGTTATTGTTCAATTGATCGTGAAAATGCGTTACTTTTCTCGATTCAAATTAATTTTTTTCTTCTACTAAACCTACGCCTCGACCATTCTGTTTAAATTAGAATTAGAAGGAACCGAAGCGTTTCATCTGATTTAAATAAACGTTGAAGGCGCGTACCAGACCGTCTTTCTTTTAAGTAAGTTACAAAATAATTCAAGAGTTATATTTTTTGGCTACTATTAATTAAACCAAAGAAAACCAAAACAAGAGTAAAATGATATATAAAACAACCCCAAAATTCTAAAGTGGCAAAGAAGTACGACAGGGAGACAATATCCCCAAAGCTGTTCCGTCGACGAAATCTTCCGTTAACTGGACTGGACCAACAAAGGATTAAAAAGAGATGGAAAATATCTTAACCATCTAAGATTCGCTGATGACATACTCCTAATTGCCAATAGTCCCGAAGAATGAGGAAGATGCATATATTTTATTTTTCGCCAGAAACTGTTCAATTTATTAGAATAAATATGTGTAAATGCAAAAAAAAATTTTTCTTGAAAGCAGTACCACAATTTTATAAAACGGGCCATTAAAATACTATGGATAACGCAAACGACGCTTCGCGGATTGAAACGATATTCTATTGGTCTGACGTCACCCGCCGTTCTCGTCGACGCGCGATGGCCAGCAGCAGCCAGACGTGTTCCGTTTATGTACGTATTTAGGTGGCGTACTAAGACATTTTTGTTGCTTTTAGCGTTGCTTTTAGCGAAGGAGCTTTTTATGCTTTTTTGTGCAGTTATTATTTGTATGTGTTGTGTGTTCTGAGAATTTTTTAAGTAATGGCAGATTCCGGGTTTGTAAAAGCACAATCAGATAACTTGCCAAAAGTCGATGCTTTTATGTTGGCTGCTTTTATAAATACAAATTCCCAATTTATTGGTGCTGAATTACGAGGAAAAAACAGAGAGGTATGTAACATTTATTCTTTGTAGTACTGAGGCATATTTAAGTATAAGTAGGTACCTACTGTTACGAACTTTTATATAGTTATAAATATTAATGTTATAAACTTACTTTTCAGATCAGGTAGGGAGACGTATGGAGATAATGCTGTAGGTTATGTAGAAGTGAAAAGAGACAAAAATATTTGTTTAGTACGTGGAAAAATAACTCCAGAGCATAGCGTGAAAAAGAAAGTTTTTTTTATATATTGACACCCCCTTACCCTTGTTATTTTTAAAGATTGTTTTTTTTTACGAAATCATAGGAAATAAATTGTTTATCAGTAATGAAAATATTATACAAGGTGTCCCATAAGCAAACGCCAAAATTAAGTTACTTTTTTATGTGAAACACCCTATATATTTTTAGATTCTTCGGAAATTTCTAGATATTCTAGATATATTTCATGTATAATATCCTATACCTCTCTTCAAATGTTTACGAAATATTGACAGTTGAAAAGCGAAAAATTCAAATTTCATATACCTATGTAGGACAATATACATAAATATATGAACTTACATCAAAATGATATTCACAACAATAAATCGTAAAAATAGAGGATAATTTAACGTTTTTCTTTTCATCTCTTCTCATGGCCTTGCACCATTTTTTTCTGTTTTCGCTCATCCATTACTTTTTATAAATATCACTAATTACTAATTATGTATTAATTAACACAAATAACTAAAATTTTGACTCGGATTCAACAGCGTGTAAAAGCAACCTGTGTAAAATAAACACGCGTCTGGCCCCACTCAACCAGAAGAACGGCGGGTGACATCACAGCGGCAAGGGGCGGTAGAGAGCGTTTGCCCGGCCATTTAAATTAACAATATTTAATTATTTTATATTAGAGGCATTTCTTAACCGATATCAACGATTTTTTTTGTTCAATTTGTAATTATATGAACTATTTTTTAAAACCATTATTTAAAAACATGCATTTTCCTCATTACAAACACAAATTAACGAACTAAATACAGCCAGCAATAAAGTAGGTCTCAAAATGAATTTAGCAAAAACTAAAGTATCGTACAAAGAACTGGTAGACAGAAAAGATATTCTAGTAAATAACACAACACTGGAAAGAGTAGAAGAATATAATATAGATAATATATTTGGGACAACTAAAATACACAGCTCAGGATCTTCTACTATTCAGAGAAGAATTAAGTTAGCATGGAGTACCTACTTATCGAAGAAAGTCAATCAGATTCAAATCTAGAATGCCACTTTATCTAAAGAAGAAAACATTCGACCAATGTGTACTACCAGTCATAACCTATTCATGGAAACCGCAGGTCGCACAAGGCTCAATGGAACGAAATATGCTGGGAATAACCAAGAAAGACCTTAAAAGAATAGAGTGGATACGACAAGACAAAGAGGAATCATGAGAAATCAAGAGACCCAGAGGAAGACCATGGTATGGACTGAGATGGGACCATATACATGGACATTGTAGAACACAGGCGTATCAAGAAAATTTTACAAAAGGAAAATTGTAAATGGATAAAACCATGTAAGAGTACATACAAAAAAGTCGTTTACCGCATATATGGCTCTCTCGAGTAAGTATGATTTCAGAGCTTTGCGAAATGCGGGAAAGAATGAAAGTGACTTGATATTGAAAGGTAAATGATTGTACATTTTTTTGGCATTGTACAGTATTGAGCCCTTAACTAGTTCTGAGCTCGGGGTTGGCAGATAAAGATCGTGCTCCGCATTCCTAAGTGGATAGTTGTGAGATGGCTTTTCCGGAATAGCAGATATGTGCTTACGGATTAAGCAAACGGATTCAAAAATGAATAAGAAAGGAAGAGTCAGTGTTTTGAAATGTTTAAAGAAATTCTGGCAGTGAGTTCTATTGTTCAGTCCCAATAAGTATCGAACTGCTCTCTTCTGAAGTTTGAAAATACGATCAAATTTTGTCGCGCAGCAAGTACCCCAGAATGGAAGGGCATAACGGAGATGCGTCTAAAAAAGGGCATAATAGACCATTCTAGAGGTTGATGAGTTAAGTTCCTTAGAAACTGATCTTAGCGCAAAACAGGCAGCGCTTAATTTCTTTGATAAAGCTTCGATGGGCAAGTCCCATTTTGGACAGAGTCCACGACGTCAGTAGTGGTGTTATTAAGTACAAAAGGTTGTATAGTACTTTTATATGACAAAACTTTAGTTTTTGAAAGATTGAGGCATAGGAGATTACAATCGCACCAAGATTTAATGGTGCGTAAGTCACTGGATATAGTATTATAAAGTGCCGTAACATCTGGGCCGCTCCAAGTGAAACTAGTATCGTCCGTAAAGAGACAGATTTTACCGCTAATGTCTAGAATTGCAATGTCGTTGATAAACACCAGAAACAAAATAGGGTCAAGTACTGAACCCTGAGGGACACTGGCTGAATAAGCTGAAAATAATGATGATCTTTGATCTTAATGATTAACTAAACTACTGTCACTGTTCTGGAGTATCTCGTTGGACAAACTTTATAGAATAAAACTGTGTTAAGAATTTTATTAACAATTTGATTTGCTTTATCAGTAACTATAATAAAACATTCATAACAAAATGGTTTCAAATAGTTTTATTCACATTTTTACTTTTACATGATCGCTTAATAAACAAGTATGCAATTTATTTAATACTTCTTTTTCTTCACACTTCTTGTTCTTTCTCTTTGCTCTTTTTTCTAAAGCCAAAAATGTTGCTTTTCTTCTGAATTTTCCTGTTGATTTCGTGAAACTGAGGAGAACAATCGCAAAAAATCTTGACACCTTCGTGAGGCCATGGCGGTTTGAAAATGGGTTCTAGATTTTGGTCCAGGTAGGTACAGTACGGTATTTCTGCTACTTTCTTCATTCCTAACCTTTCGCAAATTTTTGCCCTAAAATTACAACACAATAATATACCGGGTGCGTCTCAAACCACCTCTATAAGGCCCACCTCTATATAGGCCCACCTCTATAACTTTTTTATTTTTTTAGATAAAAAAACGAGATTTCGTATGTTAGTGTATGACATAAATTAGAATTGATTGACGTATTCAATTGTTTTTATTCGCTTCCTGTTTCACCGGAAGTGACTATAACTTTTGATTTTTAAACGACACCCTTGGTGTTTTTTTACTTTATTCGATAGAAAATGACATTCTGAAAAGAATGACATATCATATGTCAACTTTTTACATTTTCGCAAATGATTTATTTGAAATTGTAAAATGCGGATCATAACGACAATTTTGCCCGAAATATCAAGTGTGTGGTACCAAATTAAGCGTAAAAAATGCTTTTTGCAAATATGCTAATGAGTCACCCTTGTTCCATTTGAAAAAATTGAGATATGATTAAAAATACGATTTGAGCACATTTTAACCGGTCAGGACAAGACACTAAAAACTTTAGACGATCAAATTCACAACACACCAAATCTCGTTTATTTATCTGAAAAAATAAAAAGGTTATAGGGGTGAGCCACTTTTGAGACTCTATAATTAACTACTGAAAAGAATTATTGCATATTTTCTAAAAAAAAATATATTAACTTGAAAAACAAGACACTTTGAATTCCCTGACTTACGATTTTAAATAGTATGGATACTGTGAAGGGAAATTCGATACAATAAACCTACCCGCTGACCAGTAATTTTTAGTCGGCCGACTGTTTAGTTGCAAAAGTGAAAACAATACATACTCATGAAGTCGATCGGCCGACTATTTGATTGCATGTGAGCACGGCTCCATAAGGATATGTTGGTTACAAATATGCAACTAAATAGTCGGCCGACTAAAAATTGCCTGTCACCGCATAGCCTAAGGCTACGCAATGTAATCAAATATTGGGCCGATCGGCTCCATAAGAATGTATTGTTTTCACTTTTGCGACTAAATAGTCGGTCGACTAAAAATTACATGTCAGTTAGTTACACCGGTTATCCTAAAAAACTCACAAGAGAAAGGCAGAAAAGTGCATGCTTTATTTAGAAATATGTAATAATTATTTTTATTCAAATATGCGATAATTGTTTTGAGTACGGCGACAAAAAACAAGTCTGTCCATCAAGAGAATAACTGACAATTACAGTTGTCTGTCAGTTTTTGGATGTCGTCTGTCGAAATCTACCGTAGGACAGACTTTACTAACGTCAAAAAAGAAGAAATTACGTGTAAATATTTGTTGCATCACATCGAACAACAGGAAATCCTGCGTCTGCTCCTAAGCTTTTTGATTCGCTGAGTAACTTATACGCCAATCCTTTCTTTCGGTGTGATCTTTTAACAAAAGCATAAGACATCTAAAAGAATAATAAAACTAATTAAACATATATTAGGCTTAAAACTCCGGCATGTTCCGCAATTGATAGGTCATGTCACACATTCATATAGCGATATCGAAATATACAGGGTCCGGCAACAGTGCGTCGGACATCTGTAGCTCCTAGAATAAAAAAACTTGAGAATTTTGTTTAAGTGTAAAAAACTATTACTTTAAAAAGCTACTGTAATTTTGGAGTTACGATTTTTTAAAAATTTTAACCCCTTCCCATACCCCCTTAACAACCCCCCACCCACCAAAAACTAATAGCCAGATTCTCGAGTGCCGCAGTATTGTTGTGCCAAATTTGGTTAAAATTGGTTTAGCGGTTTTTGAGTTATCGTGTTACAGACAGACAGACACCATGAAAATATTTTGTATTTAGGTCATTTATGACCCAAATAACTAATTTTGAGTGAAATTAAAAAAACTTTTTTTGCCGATCTTTAATAGCCTACCATACCTGTTGGAAAGGTCGGCTAAAAATTATTACAAATACAAGAACTGCCCTGAAATCAAAACTATATTAGGTATTTACTTTAGATTGTCTATACTTACTTTGCTATAAATATGGTACCTAATCCTAAATCATACAGGATGTTCGAAATTCTAAGACAAACTTTCTAAAATATATGTTCGAAATTCTAAGGCAAACTTTCTAAAATATAAAATATTTTTTCTTCGTTTTTTTAATGAAACACCCTGTATATTATTTTTCAATAGATGGGGAATTAAAAAATTAACATTTTTTGTATTTAGGGTGTTTCAACATGTTTAACGATATCGCAGATAGTCGCGGTTTTATATTTCATATGGAATTTTCCACAGTAAATTTTTATCAAAGCTACTCAATGATTTTTCTCGCGCATTTTACCGTTGAAACAGCCATATGAAATAATACTGCGTGTATCTGCAAAACCATTAAAAATTTGAAATACTTTAAATGCAAAAAATGTTCATTTTTTAACTCTCCATCTAATAAGAAAAATTATTTTATATTTTAGAGGGTTTGGCTTAGAATTTTTAACACCCTGTATGGTTTAAGATTACGAAAGTATACCAAAGTAAGTATAGACCATCGAAAGTAAATACCTCGCACAGTTTTGATTTCATAGCATACCTTATATTTCTTGGGTGTTCCGTTTAAAAAAATCATCCCGATCCACTCACACTATTTTGAACAATCCTATAGAAATTAAAATATTTTCACTAGTAATACCACTAGAGGTCAAATTATTTCCGGAAATTTTTTCGAGCTCATGAATATTTTGAAAGTTATCCCGAGTCAAAGACGAGGGATAATTTAATAATAATTCGGTAAGAAAATTCCACACCAAATTGTGTTTGAAAATCAAATAATTAAAATGTATTTTTCGATTTTTGGTCGAATTGATTATTTAGTTACTATCAGAGTTACTATGACAACTAAGTGAGACCCAAACCATAGATAAAAGAAAATCTTCTATTAAGATCTTATTAAGATAGATATGAAATTTAATAGTAAAATTTTGGGCCAAAGCGCCCCTCCGTGTTCTTAGTAGAGACTATGTTTAAACTAGCGCCTTCGCCTTTTCTGCAGTAAATATTTTTTATGTTTATATTTGAATTCAAAGGATTTATTTTTTAAGTTACACTGATATATTAGTATATCAGAGTAATTTTAATAAAACATAAGAATATATATATTTTACAGTTTATTAAAAATACATTTTGACTACAAGGTAGAAATAAAATCACAATATTTGATAAAACTTATTATAAGTATACCATTTTTACAGTTAATAAATAATAAAACTATTTCTGACTATGATATTTAAAATTTAGATAGATAGAAAATTAAAAAATATACCGGTATTTGGTTTGGCAGACGCAGGCCCAAATTCAATAAAAACCAAAATTTTTCCTACGAAAATCGGGTTCGTTTCACTGAAAAGGTATTTTTTGATTTATCAGCAATCATTGTCAAGTTGACAATATACAGGGTGTTTTCTAATTAGTCTTAAAAATTGTGGTGTGATTCCTCATGAGTTCTGAAAACAATTTTTATATAACCATTGGGTCTAAAGTACTTCCTTTCTGATCTACAGGGTGTTAAAAGTTTAAAAAATCGATTTTTTTGCTTAACATAAATGGTACACCACTGCTTTTTTAAAGAAAATATATTTTTTTCTTGACTGGCCATCCTTTTTCAACAAAATTTATCTTTTGAGTTTTTCTTGTTCATCAAACGGTTGTCGAGAAAAAAATAAATATACTTATTAAGAGCCCGCCTTAATCCGTTTTCTAACGATTTTTTATTTTTTAGATTAATTAGGAAACACCCTGTATATGCATATCACAGGCAACCAAATAAACTAGTAACCACTAAAAATTATTTTTCCTACCACTAGCGACATACCGTGTACTAAATTATTTTATCAAAATTTCACCATATAAGTTTCCAGGCAATGACCCAAACCTAAAAACTATTTCAGTTTTGAAGCTGTCAAGCGGCACGGCTTAAAAAAAATCTTAAAGAAGTTATTCTTCGGTCATGAAAGCAAAGAAAATATTCCCCAGGAGATTAAGCAGTTGACACCCGCGAATACTAGGAAATCGAAGTCAAGCGTATGGAAGCAGTTCATCTCAACTTTCATCTCAGTTTTGTAATTGAAATGTATCAAAATTATCATGTAAACAAATAAAAACCAGACTCTCAAAAAGATATTCTGTCATTATAACAGATTAACGTCAAAAAATTTCCAGTATAATTCGCTGTTGGGTGCCCACAAGGAAAAAAGTTTCACTAAAATTTATCCGTTGCCATGGTGATTTCTAAAAAAAAAACACGTTTTGATTGGTTAAAAATTACAGGTGTGGAATTTTCCTAAAATACATCCTCGTACATACTTTAGGTTTGCACTTAAACAAAATTCAAGTTTTATATTCTAGGAACTACAGGTGCCCGACGCACTATTGCTGGACCCTGTATAGAAAAGCCTTGAATCGCAATGTAAACAAAAATGACAACTTTCAAGTTCATTGGTCTCAATCATTTCAGATCATTCAGCCAATCAGTCATCCGTACCACAAGCTTGACAAAAGATCTCCCAATTAGGCGGTTAGGAAGTTAGCCGGGTAAGCCAGGTTTTTCAATAAATAAGAAGTCAATAAAAAAAATTGGTCAAGTGCGAGTCGGACTTGCGCACGAAGGGTTCCGTACCATTCATTGTCTATACAACATTAGAGACTATATTATTATAAATCTTTTTTTCCGATATAGCTAAAATTTTGAATGCGCGTATAAGTAATTTAAACAAAAAATGAAGAAACACATTACTGAAAAAAAATTGTATTAATCAATAATAAATATGTAAAAAGTAAAAATAAATATGTAAAAATATGTAAAAATTGAAAAAAAAACGATTAAAAAAAAGTCGCCTTGACTAGGATTCGAATCTGCCTTACTACGGCTCCAACGTCATAGCAGCGTAGTCCTAACGCTTTAAACCACGCGGCCACCGAGGACTTGAAAGATTCTATGTAAAATTCTTACTTAAAAGATAATGTTTAGTGAAAGTACTTTTTTATTTATAAACATTTATTTAATTCTATTTTTAGTATTTGTTCTGATAGCGGCAACATAGATACATTATCTGTAAAAATGTCAACTGTATAGCTATAACGGTTCATAAGATAGACCTTTGTGACAGACGGACGGACAGCGAAGTCTTAGTAATAGGTACCCGTTTTTACGCTTTGGGTACGGAACCCTAAAAATAAGGACACAAAAATCTCATATACAGATACAGTACCTCATATACTTTCTGTACACCTAAGCATCTCCACAAATCTGGAGCTCTCATCATGTAAGCATAAAACATAAGCAGTTTCTTAAGCTTATCACATTTCACGGCACAAGCTAGTTTTTCTTCCATTTCTGGATCCCAGGGACTCGTCGATTCGTTTATACAAGCTCCGACTATACATCCGTTGTATTTACATTTCGCCACTAAGATCAGAATGATTTTGTACATCAGAATACAGTAAAGATATCATACAATATACACATACAACATATATTTGATACCCATTAAACTTTTAGTTACGTAATCGAGGGCGCGATTTTTAAATTCGTTGTTGCTAACAATGGACATCTTGCAGTCAACATTGTTCTTTTTAGAACCTCTTTTAGTGCGAAGTGTACAAGATAGCTTAATAGCAGTAAAAAACTCATCGAAACTTTATTAGAATGTAATGGCCCTTTATGTCCCTTAAGTTCTGTTAAGAAGGTGAGTTTTGTTGATGTAAATAAGAACTGTTTATACAGGGTGAGTCTCAAATAAGTGCAAATATTTTCAGGGGTGGTATATTTCGACCCCAGAAACACGTCTATGAGGTTTTTTTCGCAAAAAAAAATGAAAATCTTACTTTTCTTTTAAATTTACCAGTATATTTTTCGAAAACTTTTTAGAACTGCCCCTTAATGTTTGATATTACCATAGTTACGGCTTTACTCCATGGTTACGGCCAAATTACGGCACTAAAAAGGATGCAAATACAGAAAAAATCCGGTGGCTCTCAAAATGTTTTCAAAAAAGATCAATTTTTTTAAAATTTTCAAACATAAATAACTCGGTTATTTTGGATTTATCTGAAAAATGGTAAAGAGAAAATATGTTTCTTTTATTGAGATCTACCAGCCCCGAAAATATTTACGACTCACCCTGTATATTTATAATTAACTTAGTTTTGTTTCTTAAAATATTTTAATTAAAAGAAAATATGTAAAAGTGGGCAACACTGTGCCGGTCAAACTTAATCATGTGAGTAAAAGTTTATTTGATATGAACTAACAGGTGCGTCTCAAAAGTGGCTCACCTCTATAACTTTTTTATTTTTCCATATAAAAAACGAGATTTGGTATGTTAGTATATATGATATAAATTTGGATTGATTGACGTATCAATTGTTTTCGGTCACTTCCTGTTTCACCGGAAATTACTATACTTTTGATTATTAAATGGCACGTTCGGTATTTTTTTATTTTATTCGATAGAAAATGACACTCTGAATAGAATGACATATCATATATGTCATCTTTTGACATTTTCGCATATGGTTTATTTGAAATTGTAACATGCGGTTCATAACGACAATTTGACTCAAAATACCAAGTGTGTGGTTTCAAATTATTCGCAAAAAACGCTTTTTCCACATGTGCTAATGAACCACCCTCGTCCCATTTGAAAAAATTGGCAATTGACATTAGACGATCAAATCTATTTTTCCAAGGCTTCTTAATTAAAAATTAGTGTTTTTAACATAGTCGTGGCCCTCTAAATTAAAATTTAAAATACAATTTTTTTAAAGCGAAAATGTCAAGTTAACACATGTTATTCTATTCAGAATGTCATTTTCTATCGAATAAAGTAAAAAATACCGAGGGTGCCATTTAAAAATCAAAAGTTATAGTCATTTCCGCTGAAACAGGAAGGGACCGAAGACAATTGAATATGTCAATCAATCCAAATTTATGTCATATACTAGCAAACCAAACCCCGTTTTTCTATATGAAAAAATAAAAAAGTTATAGGGGTGAGCCACTTTTGAGACGCACCCGGTATATCTATCTAATTATAGTAATTATATTATATACCAATGACATTACAGCATTTCAACTTTTATATAAGAATTACCTAACGTAAATCCTTCTTCCATTGCTTTCATGGCTCGTTCATCTAAGATTGGATTGGGAGCAATTTTTAACGAATAGCAAGTCGGTTCCTCTGGATAATAAGATTCGTGCATAACGTTAAGGACTTCATTATATTCATCCTTGTCAGCTCTGACAATTATATACGGAGATATTTCTTTGACTTTCTTTAATAGAAGAAATCATGGTTAGATTTTTAATGTAAATACAGTGCAACCTCTCTTTCATTAGAACACTCCAATTGCGATGTTATATCGGAACGTTCCTCTAAAGACTTGTCAATTACGATTCCTCCGTTTTTTAGTACCACGTTTGAAATTGAATGTATAAATTAGTGATGGGATAACTCCAGTGAAAATTCGCTCGAGTACTCGATTATTGAAATAATCGACATCGCTCGATTATAAACGAGCGATGCAAGTGACGAGTACCAAGCGACGAACGCAAGCGATCCTAGAATGAAATAAATTGAAATCCGATTTTAATGTGACATACTCGATAAAAAGCCGAGCGAATTTTCTACATACATTGCTGTTATCTAGCAAATTTATACGACGCCGTATATATATTTATCCGATGCGTATCTGAGGGACAAAATTTTACATTGACAATGCTTTGAAATAAACTAAATCAAGCGATCAAGCGAATCGCTCGCCGCTTGCTACTTGCCATTCATCACTGCGCACGCAACTTACTGCTTGGCGTTAACGAGTACTTACAACAAGCGACGGATGAAAAACCGTATTTTTAAATATGAGTGATATTTAGCTCGAACTATCACTCGGTTATTGCAATCGCTTAAAACTCTTGCTTAAAATTGCTTAGAAAATTAAGCAATTTTTAAATTTATTGCATTTTCATGCATCGGATATACAATTTGATTGGTGTCATTTTATATTTCCATTTCCATGACCATTTCGCTGCTTTACTTATAGTCTAAGAGCTAGCAATGTTTTCGAGAGAGAATTTTAAGAAAGCTGGTTCTTTAATATATCTTTTGCTATGCTCTCCTGAACAGAGTGCGGACCGTCTGGCTGCCGGTGGACGTTGCGTTCACTGCTGCGCATCCCCATATCTGTATTCAACATCTGTTCACTACTGCGCATCACAAATTCGCCCTGTATTTCAGGAACTAAGGAGGCTAGGACAAACTTACACATTAGGTATGTGTAGCATATTTAGTTTCATAAGAAAGTAGTAAAGTAGCACTTTGGTCAGTAGAGCATAGCAAAAGATATATTAAAGAACCAGCTTTCTTGTTTTCCCGACGTTGTATTATCTCTCTTGTACCGGGTGGCCAACTATATAAGAATGGACGCCGGCTGTATCTCAGAAACTACACTTATCGTATAACTTCGGGAAAAAAATTCTAATAAGTAAATCGACCAAGAGAAATCGCTGGAAATTATTCTCAAGTTCGAAAAATGTCCGCTAGGGGGCGTTTGTCTGATAGCCAATCAGAAAACAGGGGTTTTCCCTAAAATATGCAGGTGAACAGGTATTTTAAATATTACCATTATAATTATCGAGGAATTTGTAATTTTTTTGACATAGAGTGCTCTATCTGACAAAATAAAGTGGTGGGGGAAGGTTAAACTTGCTTTTATTAAAATAAGGATAACTCTGGTTTAGGTTAGCCGATTTAAACAATCTAGCGCTCGTTTAAAAGAGCTTTTCCTCCTTAATGATCTCCAGTATAAATTTTCTTTCCAATTTTTTTTTCGTGGTAACTAGAGGGCGCTGTTTGAGATCATAACAGATATTGCGCTTTTGCATAAAAAAAATAAATAGGAGGCTATATTTCTCGTTGCATATTTAAATAGAGCACAACATTTCCGAAATATTAGCGCAAATAATAGCGCAAATAATAATATTATCTTCTCTCTAACGGGAGATATTTAGAAAATAAATCATATTAGGCTGTCGCCTAGGATTATAAGGTTTAAAAATTATAGTAGTAGGCTAGGAAACAAAAAGAGGTAAATTGGTTACGTCAAAATATCAAAACATAGATTTTAATTTCAGTTTAATACCTACCATTTAATTGTTATTCATGCTGATGAAATTGCAACAAATGCACTTTTATCATGATGGATCCCTAATAAAATTGGCAATGCATCTCTTAGAAATTATGGATAGTTAATTTTATTCAGATAATTAAAAAAGTCCAGTCCCGGTCATTCGCCATCCTAGAATTCTTGCCTAAACATTTACTGACTAACAGTCTTGGTGCTAAACTACTTGCATCAAGGGTAGATTTAGACCAGTAGTGCATATTGTTAAGATTCGCACCTTCAGTGCTATATGAAAAGTGATCCGAACGACATAAACTTTATAATATAATAATAAATCACAAACAACAGATAAAAAACGAAAACAAGTGAAATAAAGGACAAACTTGGATTAGTAACTAAATGACGTTACATGAAATAAACCCTGAGTTTTCAGCCATACGAAATTCGGCCTTTTCTGTAGAAGCAATATGGCGGCACAAAATTCCTAGAAATTTTAATAAAATTATTGATAGTCCGGCTTTCGGAGACCTACCTACGTATAATTAATCAAGAATTTAGTAAAAATTATATGGATGGGCGATGTTACATAAACACGTTTAAAAATTTATGACGTCATTTTTTTTTAAGAAAACGCCCGAAATTTGGATGCATGAAAACTGAACTTAAACATTTTGATATTTTGACGTAATGAATTTACCTCTTTTTGTTTCTTAGCCTACTATTATAATTTTTAGACCATATAATCCTAAACGGCAGCCTAACATGATTTGTTCTCTTAATATCTCCGGTTAGAGAGAAGATAGAAAGTTGCGGTTTACGCTGATATTTTGGAAATTTTGTGCTCTATTTAACTGTGCAAAGAGAAATATAGCCTCCTATCTAATTTTTTAATGCAAAAGCGCAATATCTGTTATGATGTCAAACAGCGCCCTCTAGCTACCACGAAAAAAATTATGGAAACAAAATTTATACTGGATATCATTAAGAAAAAAAAGCTCTTTTACAGTGCGTCTGTCCGTTCTGTAGCTACGGGGTATCCGTGAGAGGGGAAACGATATTCTCTCGATGTTTTTCGTAAAAAAAATAGACGACGCGTCCCATCAATAAAAATTCAACAAATTTGCAAGTAGCCAATAAAATGAGTGGGCGGAGCGATTTGCGGTGACGCACTCGTCAAATCGACGTATAAAATATATTGCTGTTTATTTAAATGTTTTTTGTCCGCATTCCTTTCATAGACACAGATCCAGCAGATGTACTGTAAACGAGCCCTAGTTTGTTTAAATCGCCTAACCAAAACCAGAGTTACCCTTATTTTAATAAAAGCAAGTTTAACCTTCCCCCACCACTTTATTTTATGAGATAGAGCAAAATACTCTATATCAAAAAAGTTACAAATTTCTCGATGATTATAATGGTAATATTTAAAATATCTATTCACCTGCATATTTTTAAGAAAAACCCTGTTTTCTGATTGGCTATCAGAGAAACGCTCCCTAGCGAACATTTTTCGAACTTGAATATAATTTCCAGCGATTTCTCTTGGTCGATTTACTTATTAGAATTTTTTTCCCAAAATTATACGATAAGTAGTTTCTGAGATACAGCCGGCGTCCATTCTTAGTTGGCTACCCGGTACATTGTTGTATATTTTTTACGGCGCCGCCGGCTCCGGCACCGATTTTGCCGGTGTGTGTGCAAGCGCTCTAAATCAGTTCACTTCTGATCTGAACACGGTACCGAGAAAAAAGGAAAATAAACAAAAATAAACCAAAACACGCTGCAAGCTAAACGCGTCTGTTTACGGATTCCCCAATTACCGATTGCTTTTCAAATCTTGCTTTATTTTACAATATTTTATCAATAAATGAAAATGGTACACTTCCGCATGAAGTTTTTTGCGTGTCTATGTTTGGGATAAATTTCTAGAATGAAAAACAGAAACCTGTTCTCATGTAACTGGTTTCAGCTATTCTAAAGTTAAAAACTGAAAGGTATGTATTTCCGCAGAAAAAAAATCCTGATTTTCTATTTGGAAAGGCTTCCAAGTACTAAATAAACAAATATTTCTGACATAAATGATTTAATCTAAACTTAAGTAGCCCTAATCCCTGATTTCTGCTATTCTAAAGTAGCCCTGATTTCAACTATTCTGAAGTTGAAAAACTCGAAAAGGATGCATTTCCGCAGATATTTTTTTATGACATAACTATTCGCAAAGGCCTCCAAATACTAAATAAACAAATATTTCTTACGTAACTGATTTCAAGTAAACGCAAGTTGACCCAAGAAGTCTACTACTAATAATAACTTAAATAACAACTATAATTCAGTTTCATGACAGCTTTTGACGATTAAGAGTTAAAAGAATAAAACTTACATCCCTTGTTTTAAATAGAGCAAATGTTCGTTTGAAATCTTGAAGAATGGCTTTGCTCGGTGTGTGGTTGCTGAGAATTTTGAGAATGGTATGGCCGAAATGGGATGACATTTTCACGGAAATTTTGACACTGATTTAAATGGCATATCAGGTAAATTTTTCGACTTTTCAATGCTATCATAGATTTGCATAGATATTATTTACCTTGCAATAATTAGGTAGGTACTTTAAATTTATAAAAAAATTTTATTGCATTTAAACATAATATCATATCTTTTTTAATGCACATGTTTTGCTGCTTATTAGTAAAAAGAGAACCGGAGCTGCTTTTTTCAAACCAAATTTGTCTGGAACAAGAGTTATAATAGCTTAGTTCTGGTTTTTCTTATTACCGATTCTGAACCGTCTTAGAACTTTACAGTGTAAGGGCCGGTGAAGAAATTGCTGCATATTTCCCTTTGCACAAGCGTATCACAAAGCTCAGTAAGAAGAAAACACAAAGTAAAAAAAACACTTCAAAAAAGTAAGGGCAGAATCTTAAAAAATTACATTATAGCTATGAAAGCTAGAAACTATAATTATGGAGGCTTAAGCCCTTCATAATTACAGACCACACTAAGATAGTGGTTTGCTTTAAAATCAAATGGATTTTATAGTTCACATTGGATTCCTACAGCTTCTGCCATATCATGCATTTTGACCTCAATATTTTTCAGTTTTGTCATTCTTCCTCCCAGTGGCAGATCTAGAGATTGAGTCTGGGAGGGGTAGTGGCAGTATTTAAGTAAAACATTAGGTTTAAATTGAATTTGCGCTGATAGGTACAGTGGCTGTGAAAAAATATTCTTGGATTGACGTGGATTTTCAATTTTGATTGGTTTTATTTATTTCTTTTGTCAGAATTTAATTTTAAACCACATATTCACTTATTTATAAACTTTGTCCTGGAGTATTACTCCCATCACCTCACCCATATATTGCCAGCATTCGACACCATATATTCAAATTGTCTCTATGATAGCTTTGCAAATTCTTAGCTTTGGATGGATGTTTTACTTGACCATAGGAGAGGGTTAAAAAAACCAATTACTTTTTTGCCTTGTTAATATCTGCTGTGTATGTATTTCTTAGAGTTTCCTTCTTTTATGTATTCTCATATTATGTTTCCTTTATAACACTTCCAAAATATTTGTATTCGCTGCACGTTTTAATTCACTTTTAATTTCGTGTATGTGTAGTTCAGGATCTTAGGCTCAGGAAATATCAAATATGTCCATTGCCGATAAATCTCCTTTTTTATAAGCCATCCATAAAAATAATCCACAAAATATAAAAAACCTTGACAATGCTTGACAAATATAAATACGCACGTTTTTATTCTCAGCGGTTTTCTTAGATGAATCTCATCAGCGGTGAGTACACGATTCCTACTGCGTCATCAAAATTCATCGGAAACTACCGCTGGATTTTACTGTCAGAAAAACACTCGGATTAAATTTGTGACATTTGACAGAAATATCCAAAACATCATTGGAAAATGGAAAACATAATAATTTTTTGATAAATAACCTTATTGTGGAAGAGTGAGTTGTTGTTATATACCATCTTTATCTATGGTTGTTACTTGTTAAAGCAGTTGTGAATAAACATTAAACAATGATTTGCAGTGTACAATTGGTTAAAAAAGTTATAGAGGCATCTTCGTCCAGCGAGGAACAAGAAAGTTCATCGGATGAAGATTTACTCTTAATCCATCTCATGAGAAACCAACCAAAAAAGCATGCGAAGATTGAAAATTATATTTTGTCAGTTGTTCCACGATACTGTGACATGGATTTTAAGTCACACTTTAGACTTACGAGGACTGTTGTGGAGGTAAGACAATATAAATAAATCACAGTATATTAGTTTGTATCTGTTTCACTTTTTTAGAAGGTGTTGGAAGACCTACAACTCCAACCAATAAAATTAAATATTACAAAACCATCGGTGTCACCGGAACACGCTTTCTTGTTGACGCTCTGGGTTCTTGCAAACCAAGAATCATTTAGAGGAATAGCGGACCGATTTGGTCTAAGTCGAGGTCATGCCCACACGATATTTATACAAACAGTGAAAAGGATGTATGCTGCTCGAGATCGTTACATAATATGGCCACAAAATGCAGTATCTTTAAGAAGAAAGATACTAGATTTTAACAACTTACGGGGAAACTTATCGTTTCCTAATGTTGTGGGCTGTGTAGATGGGTCACACATATTAATTAACGGACCAAGAGGTGATGATTCTTATTATAACCGGAAAGGGACACATTCTATGTTAATTCAAGTTAGTAACACTTAATATTAAATGAATATTATGGATTATAGAATATTTAATATTTTTTTTTAAATTAATAATTTTCCCAGGGTATTTGCGACTCAGAAATGTTATTCACAGATATCTATTGTGGATGGCCAGGTTCAACTCACGACAGCAGAATGTGGAAGGAATCTCCCATTTATGAAAAACTAAAAACCAACTTATTAGGGGAAGAGTTTCATCTTTTAGGAGATACAGCCTATCCCTTAGAAACCTTTATAATGGTCCCATATAAAGATAATGGCCATTTGACTAAAAAGCAAAAGAAATTTAATCAGATTTTAAGCAGTACCAGAGTAGTTATCGAGCAAGCCTTTGGCAGGTTAAAAGGGATTTGGCGAAGACTAAAATTTTTAAATATCCAAAATCTCTCGTACTTTAAGTTTATCATAATAGCCACCTGCATGTTACATAATATTTTAATTAGAGAAAATATAGACCAGGTAGAAAATCTTGAGGCAGAGGAAGAATTTATAGAACAAGATATTGATAGTGTTCCATTAGAAAATATTGTTATTAATGCTAGAGCTAAACAAAAGAGGGAACAGCTTACTGTGCAATTAGAGCATTTTTAAAAATATTGATGTTTTTATTATTTTTTTTAAATTTTTTAGTCATGTCTTGTTAAATTTTAATGTTGGGTTTGTATCATAGTTACTTTTCAGCAAATATAATTTTGTAAACATTTCTTGGATTTTTTCATTTTCATATAACAGCAAAAGACAAACTCTACTAATCAACAGTATATTTCTCAAAAATAACAGTAGAATTCTTAACAATTTACTTGTTAATATCACATTATGCCTTTAATAAAATAAAACAAAATTCTCTACAAAAAGATGCCATGCAAAAACTGAAATATAAACAATATATACTTATTTTAAAAACATGAACAATCTTAAATAATGTTCTTTGTGAGCACAAACAAACATAAGAAATATATTTTTTAAGGAAATTTTGAAATATCCTAAACTAGAAAACAAACATTAAAAAAGACAATTCTTCATCTTTTGAAAACAAAGTATAAAATACAAGTAGCAATAATGAATCAACAGTCTTTGTTTTTATTTGTACTTAGTATCGCTGCTGCAAGATTATTTATAGCATCTATTTCTTTCAATTTAAGCTCTTTTCTTTCCTGCCACCTTAGTTCGTCCCATTCTCTTTGTTGTTTTTGTTTCTCCTTGTCTTTTTCAAACTTCAATGATAGATACTTATTTATTGACATTTTTTCTTTTTTCTTCTTGCTTTCCTTAGGATGAACATAAGAATCACTAGTTTCAAAATCTGTCTCATCTTCATCTGAATTCTGTTGAATGTCAACCGAAGTGTTTGCAGAAGTTGATTCCATACTGCTGCCTAATAAATTTTTTGGTGGAGCACTTGAAGCTTTGTGCCCTAAAACTTCATCCATTGTATCAAAAAATTCCCACTTTATTGCACTTTCCCCCGTTGTATTCTGCTTTCTCTTGTTTACTCTATAAGTTCCCAACAGGTTCCTATATTTGGAATCGCATGCATCTCCTGTAACACGATGGGATCCTAGCACTTCATTTAATTCATTTGCCACCTTGTCCCACAATTTCTTTTTTTTGCAACTAGGTGTGCAAAAATCTTTCTCCATGCAAAGCCTTATATTTAGTAATAATTTTATTGACTTGTTGTCCCATTTGAAAGACTCTATTGGTTGGTCATATGAAGTACCAGGTGTATCTTTCCATGATAATCCCATGCTTATTTCGTCTGATAAACTTTTTGTAGAATTATCTGTAGGAGTTATAAACGACTGTTGGCTTGAACCTGGCCCTGCATTATTAAATGGCATGAAATTTGATTCGTATACTGATTTAGCGTATTCATTTCGAATATTTTCATCTGCAAAGAATGTATATTATCAAAGAAAAGCAAGTCACTTTTTACCCTCTACTTACCAACAATTAAGTGACCGTAAGTTTCACAGTCAACTTGAACATCAAAAAGAATATCATTATAGTGTAGTCTAACTTTTTTTAGTTCATCATTATCTCCCATTTTTTAAAATATTTATTTATATGTAAACAAGACGTCAAAAATGCTATTTCTCAGTTTGAGGTTAGAATTATAATTTAAATCGGCTTCATCGCACTTGAACCTCGATGACTTTGATGGCTAATCGTATTTTCACCGATAAATAACAGATGACATTAAAAACATATCGATGGAATTCACCGAAGTTTCATCGATGAGATTAAAAACATCGAAATTTCGCTGTTGATACATCGGTGAGTTAATCGGTGAGAATAAAAACGTGCGTAATTTAGTAATTATAAATAATGACAAACCATGACAAAAATGACATTTTACCACAGATTCACAGATTTTCAAACCGAACCAAAGTCAACTTTAGTTAAAATAAGGGCATCATATAAAATGATATTTATTTATATATGATCAAGGGATGGGTTTGTTACACAGGTTTGGTATGTATTTTCTGTGTACTTATTAGTGGTGCGCGTTTAGGGATGGTCAGCTGCTGAGTGGCTGAGAAATCAAATATTTAGACACTTCTCTTTCCCGAACAAACTGATAATCAACTAGGTCGATATTATAGCTTTGTTCCAACGCAGAAATTAGGACCGTTCTAGAACGGTTATTGGTATCGCCGGGATCGAATTTGTGCGCATGTGTCGACTTGGACAGTTCCGTTACTATACCAAAATTAAATGCAGTTGGAACGGTTTGGGAATCGATTTTAGAATTCGTCCTGGCCGCAGTGACGTCTTTGACGCTGGAATCCAATTCATAACCTTATTTTTTGTTATTGTTATTGGTTAGATGTAAGAGTTAGGTAGATTTTTTTATACGATTTTTATTATCTAAGGGATTCAAAATAAGTAATATACCGTATAATCGAACAAAAAAAAACGGCTTAAGCTATTGCTCTGTCATTTTTTATATGTAAAGTTATATGGAGAATGGCATTGATCATCATTTCCAAGCCAACTGGACGCCGTTTTTTCTCGATCGTACGGTACTTACGTGCTTGAACTATACACTATAAGACAATGATTAATAAATTGGGGGGAGATTTATTTATATTTGTACGTTTGAATCATTCGTTCAAATCATTTTCGCTGGTATCCAACAAAGACTCGATATCGCGGTCCTCTTCGTCACTCATCATAGTTCAAAAATAGAGAAATATTTAAAATAAATGCACGATAAACATCAAATAAAACTTTAAGCTTCAAAGCGTCGTCAAAATAACATTAAACACATTTAACATAAACTGTTAAAATTAATAAGAGAAATGGCTAAAGGAACTTAAAGTCCAGAAAAAATCAGTGATCTGCTGACACACTCTTAATGCGCATGTCAGTCCCTATGATTCTTGCTTTCAGGCTGGTATCGAAATTACGGTCCCGGAATCGATTCACTAAAGCTTGTCGCCCACTTGTCCGGCACAGCACGGACCGTAGCTGCTCGTCGCCTGCAGGCGACGGAGAGCTTGGTCGCCCACTTTGCCGCAGGAAACCGGCAAGCCGTCACGTCGCGGTCGTATGTTGCGAAGATCTTTTTGTTTTAGTTTACATGTAGCAGTGACAGAGTCACTATGTGTGAAAGCAGCAGTTCTGATGAAGAAGTTATTGTAGCGGCCGCATTTTTGGCAGAAGAAGAAGAAAATAAATAGAAGATAAAGAGAAAAATGTGGGTCCACCCCATTAATCAAAAGCGGACTGAACGCGGAGAGTCCCATCATTTATTTAACGATTTAATTTCCCTAATTTTTTTCTTAGGACTGCTTTCTCGGACTTAACAATAACAACTGCCAAAATAATTGCAAAACATATATGCGATCGAAAGGCTTCCATAAGTTAATGCAGGCCAGCGCCGGCCGGCCGGCTCCGCGCGTACAGTTGACCGGCCCGTCCCGGCACGGACCGTCGTTTGACGGGGAGAGTCGGAGAGCTGGAATCTGTTCCGTCGACGGACTCGCCGTTCCGTGCCGTGACGGGCTAATGTGCGGTAGTCTATTCATTTGCATGGTTTTAATCCTATCCGTATTTTGACGGGCCGGAACGGGACGGGACGTGACGGCCAAGTGGGCGACAAGCTTAACGGTGACAAGTCTTGTTGGAACGCAAAAGTTATCGTTCACTAAACGATTCTCTCGTGGTTGGAACGCTTTTTCTCCACTGCGCAGAAGCGTTACCGTACCGAGTACGGTTCTTTCCGTCGTTGGAACAAAGCTTATAGTCAAAATTTAAGTTTAATATTAACAGTAATATATTTTCAAATATATAAAATTTGCTAATGAGCAAATTACGGTTTCAAAAACACAAAAACACATAAAAAAGTAGATTGTTTTTTATAATATGATTTATGATTTAAATACTTAATCAAATTATAGTTACTCTTCTAATTTAAAACAATTCACCTAAAAAAAATATTTAATATTTGATTTTATATTTCTTTTGCTATGCAATGATTTTATTAAACGCATTAAAAATGATTTTTTTAAAAGTTTTTTTTAAATTTCATGTTCTCGCCTTTTTGCCATCTATGATGTAGTAGATGTATTAAAATTAGGTGAAAAATCAAGGCTGGTCCGTGTGGAAAATTCTGCGGTAAGATCACGTGTGCGCAAGCGTACTTCCTTTCCTGCTCGATCACTGACAGAAATTTTCTCACTGCACATTCCGATCATTGGACCGATTTGTCCGTGTCACTTTTTACGACACTGTTCCGTGGTAAGTCGGCGAAAATTTTAGTGAGTAAAATCATCTTCAGTTTTTTCATCCGATTTGTGCCATCTTAACGAAAAAAGTGTGAAATTATAAGAGAAAAAAGGTTTGGTTTTTAGTTCTGTGAAAATCTTTGTGCCAAGTTATGTAATATCATCTTAAACTGTTTAATACATTTAATTCAGAGTGACCTAAAGTCGGCCATTGTCATTCTGATGTTTTCGGTCAAATTCCATATATAATTACTTTTGTCATTTATTGTCGGAAATTAAGAAGATTTTAAAGTATTTTGAATTATTTCCAACCTTTTTCCCTCTATAATAAGCAAGTTCATAGTTATTCAATCTAAATTTAGTTACGTAACTATATCATGAACTTTAGCTAGGCTAAAGTTTTTGACAGTTGCTGTTCGATCGTTGGGGTGAAGTGACATAGGTTTCTTTTGCAGGCTCAAGACCCTTAAAACAACTAAAAAATAAATAAAAATGTTTGCCGCCGCCAGACTGATAGCCCCTGCAGCCAGAAGCGCCGTAAGTTTCAATTTATTCAATTTTTTTTTGAAAATTTTCAACGCCCAGAACAGAGCCAAGTTACATAATGCTTTTTGATTCAGGTTTTTTTCTATTTTTCTTAATCTATTAGCGATTAAATTGTGAACCAACAGAGTTTCTATTCAATTTTTAAATATTTTTACAAAATTTATGAATATAAATTATATAATTTTGACATAACCTCTTCTGACCTTTTTGTACCTTCTTACAAAATGGGGATCTTTATATAATTATCTGAATTTACATGCTCTGCATAAGTGATAAATACAATATAATATTTTAGTAATAATTTATTACATAATAATTAAGGTACATGTGTTTCAAATTCTGACAATTATTGGATTAGGTACCTATGTACCTACTTAATTTATAAGCTTTTTTAATATTACATTAGATTATTACTGTTAATCTGCTTGTAATTCTTATACTTTTTTATTATAATTTTATTTCTAAATGCTATTTTTTCAATATGACTTAAAGTCATTGATTACTACATTGTATAACATGATTGTATAACATAATTTTTGTCTTTGGTTTTTACAGATCCTTAACAATTCAAAACAGTACCTCAGGCCACTGAGCAGTGCCGTTTCACAGAGCCAATCCTTGGTTCAAAGTGTACAACAGAACCAACAGAAACAGGTAAATTACTACTATTTATATTATTTTTTAGTAGTTTTAGATAATTTTTATACCTACTTACATGTTGCTGAATTTGGTATTTTTATTTCATCAGGCCAGTCTTTTGCCTGCTATCCGTGGATTCCAAACTAGCCCAGTTTCCAGAGATATTGACTCTGCTGCCAAATTTATTGGTGCTGGAGCAGCCACAGTTGGAGTAGCTGGTTCAGGTAAATTGCATGTCTAATTTTTAGCAAGAATCATGTAATATTATGTTGTGTGTTAATTTAGATTTTTGTTTTATGTAATATGTAACTAATGTGGCTAAACATTTTTTCATTGTTTAATCAACTAACCCATCCTAACCACAAACTTGTAGGTATTGGTATTGGCATGGTGTTTGGAGCTCTCATTATTGGTTATGCAAGAAACCCCTCATTAAAACAACAAATTTTCTCATATGCAATCTTAGGTTTTGCACTGTCCGAAGCCATGGGACTTTTTTGTCTCATGATAGCTTTTCTTATGCTATTTGCCCTTTAAACATATATTATTACTTAATATTTGTTCAAGTCAAGATGGAGTAATTTATGTTGAAGTACTCTTTGCTCTTTGTATTGTCTTTACATCAAAAACTGACTAGTTTTAAGAAAAAATGTCCTGCCATTGTAAATAATAAAGTTTTGATATTTTTGTAGCTCTGATTTTTTAGTTTTTTAAATGTATATTTTTTTTATTTGTGAAGATATGGTTAGATGTGTATGCTGAAAGTCACTAAAAGCTTTAATTTTTTTCTGATTTATGTGTAGATCTGATAACATTTAAGAGCATATGGAGAAAAATTATGTACTCTACTTGGCATATTATGAACTATATTTTAATTTATTTGGCAGACATTTTTGTGTTAAATGTTCACTTAAATTTTGTTGCAACAACTTGTCATTGCTTATTTTGTAGAATATTTATTTTGCACTAACCTTAAAGTTATTTTTCACATATTTGTCATAAATTATCATGTCATAAATGCACTATTGTGTTTTAGTGTTGTGTATTTGTTTTTAACCTGATAAAATTGCATGTGGTTTAGAGGTAAGAAAATTTTAATTTTTATGTATATGCACTATCATGAAGAATGTTTTCTTTTTATTAAACATGAGTAATTTGTATAATTGGGTATTTCTGGTCTTAGGTGCTGGTATTGGAACAGTATTCGGCTCCCTTATCATCGGTTATGCAAGAAACCCCAGTCTCAAACAGCAACTCTTCTCGTACGCCATCTTGGGTTTCGCCCTCTCTGAAGCTATGGGTCTTTTCTGTCTTATGATGGCCTTTTTGTTACTGTTCGCCTTCTAAGAAGGGCATTTATTATATAATAATAAATTTAAATATAACGTACCATACATCTTCATTTTTTTACCGTTTGTACAGTTTATATCGCCTCTTTTAATCACGTTCGACTCTTTTTGTAAGTCTAATATTGTTAAATTCGCGATGTAAACCATGCACACAAGTTAGGGCGTTGAAAAATTGTAATTAGAACATTCTAGAACAAGTATATGATTGTGTATAGAGACTTTGGGCTTACTATTTATTTGGGGACATTCTTTGAGAATGTTTTTTGAATCATATATTTGTTTCTGGTTCGTTGGACAATGAGATCAGTAAAAAAGAACCACATAGGTGAATTAAAGACCAGACTCGTCATATAATGCATATTGTACAGAAGTTCAATAGAAATCTTCAATAAAAATTGTTTAGTTGTGATTTTTTTCAATATACGCTATTTATTTTTATGTCCTTTCCTTTTTGTTTTTCAGTGACTCATTTTCTATAGTGATTAATAAAATATATTTCTGTTTCTAAACTGGTTAGCTTTTTTTAATCTATTTAGTTTTGTTAGAAAAATTATGGATCAATACTACTACTTTGATAACAGCAGTAACAGGTTTCATATTACAGCATATTTTTAGTAGCGAAAAATCGGCATTGAGCCAATTTTGATTATTACTAAATCCACTATTATTCTGTTCAAATGTATAAGACGTTGCCTACTTTCAAGATCTATAAACAGAACTACTGTAATAAGTTCTTACAAAAGAAGATAGATGGCACTACTAGGTCTTTACAAGTTATTAAAGGTTCTTTTGAAAATACTTCAAAATTGTTTTTTTACTTAAAAAAAGAAAGTGAATTTTTACAGTAAATTTTATCAACGCTGTCCAATGATTTTTCTCTCGTATTTTACCGTTGAAAGAGCCATACGAAATAATTCCGCTAGTATCTGCGAAACCGTTAAAAATTTTAAAATACACTAAATACAAAAAATGTTCATTTTAAAAAATGTTCATTTTTTAATTCTCCATCTAATAAAAAAATAATCTACAGGGTGTTCCAGATTTAAAAAAAACGAAGAAACGTTTTAAATTTAGAAAGTTTGGTGTAGAATTTTGAACACTGTAGGATTTAAGATCACGATATTTATAGCAAATTAAGTACAGACCATCTAAGGTAAATACATAATATAGTTTTGATTTCAGGACAGTTCTTGTATTTTTAATAATTTTTTTCAGAAAAGCTGAAAAATATTTTTTTATTAATTTATTATCTCTGAAACTATTGAAATACTAGTTGATGTCTGGCGCACCCGCCACACGATATCAGGAAAAAAAATACTTTTTTTTAATTAAATGAAAAACAAAAAGTCCGGCGGCCACCGAAAAAAGCAACTTTCTAGAGCAAGTCATTACTTCACTAGAGACGACACAGATAAACATTAGCATTTTATACCGGGTGCGTCTCATATATAGGCTCATTATAGGCTCACCCCTATAACTTTTTTAATTTTTTTTAGATAAAAAAACGAGATTTGGTATGTTAATTTATGACATAAATTGGGATTGATTGACGTATTCAATTGTTTTTAGTCCTGTTTCACCGGAAATGACTACAACTTTTGATTTTTCTCGATATTTTTTTACTTTATTCGATAGAAAATTGCACTCTGAATAGAATGACATATCATATGTCAACTGACATTTTTTCATATGGTTTATTTGAAATTGTAACATGCGGTTCATAACGTTAATTTGACTCGAAATACCAAGTGTGTAGTACCAAATTATTCGTAAAAAATGCTTTTTCCAAATATGCTAATGGGCCACCCTCGTTCCATTTGAAAAAAATGAGATATGATTAAAAATACGATTTGAGCATTTTTTAACCGACAAGAACAAGACACTAAAAACATTAGACGATCAAATGTATTTTTCCAAGGCTCCTCGATTAAGAATTAGTGTTTTTAACATAGCCATGGCACTCTAGATTGATATTTAAAATACAAATAATATATTTTTTTTTAAAGCGAAAATGTCAAAAGTTGACATATGATATGTCATTCTATTCAGAGTGTCATTTTCTATCAAATAAAGTAAAAAAATAACGAGGGTGCTATTTAAAAATCAAAAGTTGTAGTCATTTCCGGTGAAACAGGAAGTGACTAAAAACAATTGAATACATCAATCAATCTCAATTTACGTCATATACTAACATACGAAATCGCGTTTTTTTATCTGAAAAAATAAAGAAGTTATAGGGGGGAGCCACTTTTGAGTAGCACCCGGTATATGTAGATATTTGCTCATATCTTAGGATTATGTAAAATGATCTGAAAGGAAGCCAAACATGTAATAATATACAGGGTGTTCCATTTAAAAAAACCATCCCGATCCACACTCTTTTTAGATCCGCCCTGTAGAAATTAAAATATTTTCCTGAAATACATCCTAGTACATACTTTAGGTTTGCACAAAATCCCGAAGTTTGTTATTCTAGGAGCTACAGATGCCCGAACCACTATTACCGGACCCTGTATATGCAAAATATTAAAGACAACTCTTGTATATACACGCCATTGTATAACCTCCCTAAAAGTAATCGTATGGTAATCCTAGTGGCGCTCATGGATGCAATAATGCGTCTGTTTAATTTATTCTTGCAAGAAAATAATAAGATTATTTCTTATTATAAATAAGAATAATGAAATGAAACAATAACATACTTTAATGAAAAATGTTTTTATTATGCATATTCGGTTTACCCGTTTCTCATTTAGGTACCTATTCTAAAGTTACATTTTAGTTTTCCTTATCAATGAAAACAATCTTCAACATTATATTCTTATCAATAATTCAATTTTAATAATATTAATATAATTTACATAACAATCGATCTCTACTTGTTTGCCTATTGTAGTGATTATCATCGTTATTTTTTCAGTTAAGTCTTTCAGATACTTACGAAAAATCGTGGGTAGAAATTAAGAAATCTTTGGAATATATTGTTATTCGTTCGGTTTGATAAAAATTAGAGAATAGCATTTTGAACAAATCGCAGGAAGATGTACTTTGCAATCATTTATTTTGAAAGACAATGTTTACCAAAAATTATTTCTTCTTACAAGGAGAAATAATTTTTTTGGTATTTTTTAGGACTTGTTGGAGGTGCTGGATATTAAAACACACTTCTTGTCAATTTTTGTCTTAAAGATTAACATTGATAATGGTTCCAAAAAGCGGTTTGACTATTACTGCTTTAGGGATGGTTTTGGTATTTGTTGACCATCCTTGATATGAGCGTATAAAATATGTATTTGTCAGTTGCAGTAAATTGTAGTTCAAGTTGAAAGATAATAAAATATAACTCAATTTTTACACTTTCCCTTTAACCACTATTCAACATAGGGTTGCCAACAGTCCTCTATTTCAGAGGGCAGTCCTCTTTTTGATCGTACTTAGGGTTTCATCGAGACGAGAAATCTCGTCTCGAAGGCTATTTCTCGTCTCGTCTCGATCATCGAGACGAGATATTAACAAACTCTCGTCTCGATGTTTTTCTCGAATATCTATCTGTCTACCATACCTATTGGTATGGTCGGCTAAAAATATCATGTTATAAAGTCTGCACCAAAAGATAGGGTAAAATTTTTCTGTTAAAAGATTACTTTATAGAATACAGAGCTATTATAGGTATGATATGAACTAAAAGCCATGTGTAACAAAAAAATCGCAGACTTTGGCCCAAAATCCCAAAAATAAAAATTTATTGTTTTAAAAAGCGAAAATCAAAACGATTCCTTTATTTTTTAATTTAGTCTTTTATCACATATGGGTTTAAAATTTACCTAGCTACCTACGAAAGTTTAAAATTTTTACTTCGTTGTGCAACAAACTGATTTTTGTTTACTCGAAACAGTCTTATTGAAAAACTTTTTTTCTCCGACATTACTTAAATTCGTTTAACTCAATAGGAGTTAATAGTGAAATTTATACAAAAATTGTGCTATAAGAACAAGAATATATTATATTTACGGCATTTCTTTATTCTGAAAAGACCAACCGAACGAACAGTTTTGGGGAAATTATCTTTTGGTTATTCGTAAGCATTGTAGGAGAAAATATTTCCCAACATAGTTTTTTATTTCCATTTTTCTAGCCTTTCATGATCAACAGCTCATTATTGCAGCATCTAAAGTTTTTCGAGATCGAAAAATCTGGAAATCATTTTCCCGATCTCGTCTCGAAAAAAATTCTCAGTCTCGTCTCGATTTCGAAAATCTCGTGAAACCCTAATCGTACTGTCCTCTTTTCTCACGCGTATCGAAATGTCCTCTTTTTTTATACACCAAACTTCGAAAAAATGATCTTAATCGTAACAATGCTTAGTAAAATTGCTAATCTGGCAACTGGATTTCTTTTGTTAGCTCCACTCTTTCATACAGAAAAGAAATATTTACTTAAACGTAAAAGAAATATTGGTGGATGCGGCGTTAGAAAATAAAAAAGACCATTATCCGTATAAAGTTTTCATAACTTTTTGGTAAATTCTTGACATGAGCGTTATAATACATATAGGTTTAAACATTTTTTTCTTTTTTCGCTTGTCCAGTTTTTACACTCGTGTTCTCTATTTTTAATTTTGAAAGTGGGCAACCCTAATTCAAGATGTTCTTGGCTTTGACTGTATCTAAAGCCCTTTCTAGACATAACGTTTTACCCATTTACCAACCCCCCACCCCCACCAAAAACTAATGGCCAGATTCTCGGGTGCCACAGTATTTTTGTGCCAAATTTGGTTAAAATCGGTTTAGCGGTTTTTGAGTTATCGTGTTACAGACGAACAGGCTGACAGACAGCATGAAAATATTTTGTATTTAGGTCATTTATGACCCAAATAACTAATTTTGAGTGAAATTAAAAAAACTTTTTTTGTCGATCTTAATAGTCTACCATACCTAGTATGGTAGACTATTAATTAATTATTATATATAAATTATTAATAGTATGGTCGGCTAAAAATTGTTAACGAATCAATTGAATATTTAACTAATATTTGAATGTAGAAACTCCATCTTCCTGCGTATTTTTAATCAAGGTATTTTTAATTCGATCAAGAAATCTCTTTTATAACTACGAAATAAAATCTTGTAACGCTTACATTTAATATATTTTTATATAAATTATTAGATTGCAAAAGGAAGAACTTTTTTTTCTGTTAATAGGCTGATGCATTTACTTCTTAGTTAAGTAGTTATTACTATTAATTTTGCATTGATTGAAAAACGCTAATAAAAGTCTTCGTAAGTCAAGCCTTAATATAAGAACTAAATACGGAAGAGCCTATTTGATTTACAGTGCAAAACCACCGATTTCTATCGCTTATACGTCCTAGGTATACTCAAGATTAAGCTAATTTTCCATTCTCTTTTTATCCAAAATATTTCGTATTTAACGAAAAAATTCAACAACCTTACCGAAAATACTTAACGAATATAGTAAGCTCTAAGAGTATTTTATTTTTTAGGAAAACCGTTGAAGAAGTGAAAAGATGCGCAACCTTATGGGCGATTTACAAAAATCTGTCCGAGATGTAGCTGGCGTTACCGTCAAGCTGTTCGAGATTTAGTGTAGCTCTGAGCCGCGCCGCTGTGCGCTGATAGTCGTTTACAGCGCAGCGGATAAAGAAAACTGTACCGTAGTTCTGCTTTCAGTCGACAGAGTGGGTGGTTGCTGGAGACAGCGTTGCCAGAACTACGGATTAATCCGTAGATTTACGGATTTTGGGTACAGTACGTTAATAATACGGATTTTCTATCATTAAACAATTTAATATAATATTATATGATTAAACAAAGAACGGCGTCAGAGTTGGCTTGAAAATTAAGACCGCTGTTATTTCATATGTAAAATATTAAGGTAAGTGTCAATAATCGTCATTTCCAAGCCAATTAAACGACTTTTTTTGATCGTTCGAAATATTCAGTACCTATAAAATAATTTTTATTTTTGTTATTTATTCTGTCTAACACGAATACATTTCCACCGACACATTTTAATATGGCAAAACTATCGCTTTCAGTTCCACACCATCTTCGATGTTCCTTCGCTGGCCGAATTAGAGAAAAGAGGTGTTTTATGCGTTGGCCGCAGAACGAGTAGTGGCTCTACCATACAGCACTTGAGGCGTAAGGGGAAATCAATTCAGCCTCATGAATTTGCTCATTATAGGTTGCGCATCTTCCCAATTCTTTCAATCGAATATAAAAATGACAATCCGAAGACATACTGTATATCATATTTATATTATAATTTAGCTCCAAACTTGTTTAAAAATAATAAAGTAACTTTTGAATTTTTATCTTTCCAAAAATTATGTTCATTACTAGATAGAAGTAAAAAAGCATGGTGCAGTAAGATTGTAAATCAGTATTACTAAGCAATCCATGGTAGAATTTTAAATTCGTTATAAATCTAATAATTTTTTATCTATTGCGATCTTCCAATTACAAAATGCAATTTCTAGGTATCACTTGTTTATAGTCGTATGCTGAGGGCGATGTTTATTTGATGGCTAAACAACCGCCGGCGGTATTGTTAATGTATATAAGAAATACCGTCATCCGGCGGCCTGGTATTTCTAGAGGGTGGTTCAGATAAAAATAAGTAAAAAAGTTCGTATAAATGTATGTCCTCAAATGCTTAGTTTCGGAGATACAGAGTGTAGAAATTTTATTTTTATTTCGATTTGTTCCAAATAATTTCTGAAGTAACGTCAATATTTGGGTGAAAATTGGTGTCTGGGAGTTTCTTGACATGCGAAATTTCATTTTGATGTCAGTATGACTCCTACTTGTACTACTCCTACTAATTTTTCAACTGGTTGAAGAGTACTTACTTTTCGTCCATACCTGTATAAAACTACTGAGTAAAAAATACACATTTACGACATATTTTACTTAAAAAAGATATCTTGGTAAAAATCGCTACAAGTAATGGTTCTCGAGATATTTGGAATCTAAATTATTAATACCTGTCATCAATGACATAAATTAAACATGTTGAATAAATAGTTATTAGACTGAAATCATAAATTTGAAATGTTTGTGTGCTAAAAGTTACTGCTTTATTTGTTCGAAGAAAAAGTTATAATTAATTTTAAAAAAATAAAAAGTTCCCTAATTTTATCATTTCAGTCAAATAACTGTCTACTCTCAATATGTTTATTTTTTTTCAATAATGACGTATTGACTATTTCTATTCTAAATATCTTGAGAACGGTTGCTCGTAGCGATTTTACCAAGAGACTTTTTTACGTAGAACACTATCACTGAAATGTATATTTTTTCATTCGGTAGTTTTATATAGGTACGGACGAAAAGTTCTCTTCAAAACAGTTAAAACACATGTAGGGGGCGCCCCTTACAAAGAGGAGTAATATTGACTGTTCGGAGTTTAATAATAAACCTACTAATTTCTCTTATCATCGTTTATTTGCAAAAAAACTTAAAATTAATGTGGAGCCCCCTAAGTAACAACTACTCGGACTCGGCCATCTTGATCCGTCAACGTCAATCTGGCGCGCAAATGAATGCGAGGTTGCTGCAGTTCACTTTAAATCCTTAAAACTGACATCAAAATCAAATTTCACATGTCAGAAAACTTCCAGACACCTTACTTACAGGTTCCAGAATTTTCATCTAAATATTGACGTTACTTCTGAAATTATTTAGAAAAAATTCAAATAAAAATGAAACTTCTACACCCAGTATCTCCGAAACTAAGCAATTTAGGACATAATTTATACGAATTTTTTTGCTTATTTTTATCTGCAGAATAAGCTGCCGAAGTTTCCGGAATACAGTTCGGACCACCCTGTATATCTGTAAATGTCGGCGGATAATTGAATTGATTTGTTGTTGACGGCGGTATTCGCTTAACTTGGCAGACAAAAGCCGTCCAACGGCGGCAAACTGTATTTTAAACATCAAATACCGCCGAAGTGATAAAATAACCTAGCTAACATTATTTTTGTATGCAATAAAATGTAGCTTTATTTTTATAACAGTACCCAATCGCGGACCTGGAGGTCTTGGGAAAAACAATAACACATAAAATTTGGTAAAATAAGGGCGGTATATCTGTCTTTTAAAAAAGTATACCGGTAAAATTTACCTTGTTTATTTACCTCGGCGGTGTTCATGTTATTACACACTGATATGGAAGTGTGGTGTAGATTTTAACGCGTGAGACAGGCAGTGATGTAGGCAGCTTCATGGAAAATCAAATGTATTAAAAGAGATAAAAATTGGTTGATACATTTCTTCTATGCTGTATTGCCGGATTTTGCATCAAAAGTTCAAGCCGCACAAGTATGCGTTTACGGAAAATGTTGCATCTAGGGTTGGAACCTTATTTTTCACAATTAGTTACTTATTTTACTACAGATGCAATAGATTATAATATATAGCTTAGATATATTATCTTCATTTCAGTAGTATACATGAAAGTTTTTAAAATATTTTTTTTTTCTACACAAATTTTTCTACAAACGTAAAAACCGGCAAAACTGTATGTCGCTTTTGATTTTGTCTCTGTCTGTTAATCGGTCATTTACATTATTCTCTGTCTTACACGTTAAAATCCAGACCATACTTCTAAAGTGACCAAATCGGTATGTAAAACCGTCTACCGTGCTGGCAACTGTTACTCTTGGGTCGGTACTTACACATGTGTGGAAGTAAATCGCATAGGGATCTTATTAAGTCGGAGTGAACCCTGTGAATGAAAAAAAGCTATAGGGAAGGAAAATTACGACTATATATATTTTCATGCTATAGGGAAAATTACGATTCGTTAATAAATAAACAAATAATAAAGTATCCCGAGATGTAATTAAATCGTGAAGCTGAACGCATGATATACACCTTTCCCTAGTAAGTACTGACAGAGGTACTGATTGGGTCGACCGGTGGGCTGCGACAAATCTGCTATATCCCCTTCCATGTCTCTTAGCAGTATGTGCAGTTTCTCGGTTTAGTTCGTACGTTTGGCAACGTGTTTACGTGTTGTTTGTTGTTGTCTCTCTTTGTTCAGTACATTATAAACGCATTGTACTCTTCTTACATACGGAAATCTCAACCCAAGACTAACCTTTGCCAGTCCTTAGTATAACGGCGGTGTATATTTTGTCAATAGTCTATACCGCCGGCGCGGCGGTAACATAACCAGTTTCAAAATTAAACAATACTCTTGGAGCTTACTATACATAATATTCTTAATCCTGAATATAAAATTCGATTTTATTATCTTTGATTTTCATTAACACATAACCGATGCCTCACAACTCTTCGGGAACCATCTGTAAGAGCGCCATCCGCTTCTTGGCTACTTTCGATATGACCACGTCGATCGGCTTCGTGGTGTCGTATAACGAGGGAGCGTTCAGGATGATCACCCCCGTGCCCACCACGCAGGCCAGGGTGAAAATCCAGAGGAAGAGCCTGTCCAACACCATGGCTACGTACTTCCAATCTTCTTCCACCTAAATTTGAGAGGAAAAATTGGTTAAAAAATTCGGCAAAGACTGAAAATAGGCTTCAAATACGAAATTTTGGTAAAAACTTGAATTTTTGATAAAAGTTACTTTGATCGAAAAACGATTTGTGAAAGATTTTTTTTTAATTGACCCCCGAGAAGGGATGGAATAAATAAACAAAATTATTTTTTCGAAATTTCGGAGAAACGGCAAGGACTAGAAAAAAAGTTCAAATAAAATTTGCACAGCGTCCAATTTTACATAAAAATGGTCTTTCTATTTTTTTGCTCGAATCAAAATTAACCAAAATAGCTCGGAGGAGCGAGACGCTGGAGAAAGAGCCGGAGGCTCCAAGGAGCACGACAGTTTGCATTGAAATGAAATTTTGTGAGCATTATGCAGGTTAATTCAGAGCACTTTTTAAAAATATAGTTTTACAGGGTGTCCCCAAAAAAAGTTACATATCGAAGTTTTGTTTTTTGTAATGGAACACCCTATATATTAATTGATTTTCGGATTTTAGGAGAAAAATAAAGGTCAGTTTTATTAGAAAAGTATATGACTAAAATTTAAGGTTATTTACATTAACATTTTCTAAAAATAAAGAACAATTTTTAAATTACAATAAAAGCTAACTAAATTGGAATTTACCCAGTACAACCTAATATGTAGTTAAATTAACTATTGTACTTTAAATCAAATTAAAACTTGATCCAAAAAGTTTACAGGGTGAGACAAAATTAATATTGAACATTGGTCACCTTTAAAAGAAAGTTACTCTTTTATATTAAATGGAACACCATTATTGCGATATTTAGTGGGGAATTCATGTCTCTTCAAAATACTATTAAGGTTGCCTCAAAGATTTTCCTAGATATTTTCATTTATATGATTTAGAGTCAGTAGATCGTTATTATTTGATAAAATCTGTGGTGGCTGTGATATGTCTAATGTTACTTCAACATAGTTGTCTTATTAGTCCAACTTTAACAACTAGTTATCATTTTCTGTCAGTTAAAACACACACAAAGAAAAAAATCTCAGAAATTTGCCGAAAATGCAAACTTATCCAACATCAGAGAGAATTGATATGATTCTATTAGTTGTACCAATTAATATATATGTATTAGTTGTACCAATTAATAGAATACTCAAATGCTCCTGATTTTATCTAGTCTGGGCTTTTTTATGGAAGATAGTGTTTACAAAACTCGACCAACTATTGTCGACAACATGAGAGAATTGATTGTAGCTGCTTTTCTAAGTAGAACTCCAGATATATGCCTTTTAAAATGAAAAGATCTTTTGAAAAGACAATCATTTTATGCACTTACAGGAAATGAAGCATTCTGAGCATTTGATTTCATCTAGCTAATTTTTGTCACATAATTATAGATTTATATGTAGTTTTAATTCTGTAATGATTAAAATATGTTTTAAACGTATTTCTTTATTACCGTTGAGTATTTTACTCTACATCCTTAATTTTTATTAAATTAACAGAAGGTATACCACAGCCACCTAGATTTTTTTAAATAATAAAGATCTACTGACATAAAATCATAAAAATTAAAATATCTATGTAAATCTTTGTCTGAAGGGTAGGCATACTTAATAATATTTTGAAGATATATGAATTCCCCATTGAACACCGGGGATAATACACTGGGTGTTCGATTTAAATAAAGGAGAAACATGCTTTTAAAAGTGACTAATGCTTCATATTAATTTTGTCTCACCTTGTATAACTTTTCGGGTCAAATTTTAATTTGGTTTAACAGACAATGGCTACTGTAATTAAATATCAGGTTTTACAAGGTCAACTAAAAATTAGGTAGCTGTTATCGAAATTTAAAATTTACTCTTCATTTTCACAAAATGTGAAATATGTCAAAATCCTTAGATTTTAGGTATATGCTTCTTAAATAAAATGCACCTTTATTTTTTTCCTAGAATCCGAAAATCAATTAATATATAGGGTGTTCCATTAGAAAAAAACACAACTTTGAGGTGTAACTTCTTTGGGGGACACCCTCTGTATAATTCTATATAATTTTATAAAATGCTTTCAGTTAACCTACATATGCTGCCAAAATTTCATTTCGATATAAACTATCGTTTTCCTTGGAGCTTCCGCGGCTTATTCCGAGAGGCGCCACCCTGTACAGTATGTTAAAAAAATTATAAAAATAGGGCTAAAAGTTACAGCGCTTTCGGATGGAGCGGACCGTCCGCGACTTCGAACAAGTACCATGAGTTTATATGAACAATTTCACATGGGCGTGTATGCTCCGTCCGACGGAGTGCGTCGGACGGCTATCTTGAAAAAACGACGGACGGTACGCGACTTCGAGCAAGTACCATGAGCTTATATGAACAATTTCACATGGGTCGCGTATGCTCCGTCCGGATGGGCTATATTGAAAAAACATCCGCGCGTACGGTCCGCTCCATCTGAAAGCGCTGTTACAGCGCCTTCAGATGGAGCGGAGCGTCCGCAACTTCGAGCAAGTACCATGAGTTTATATGAACAATTTCACATAGGCGCGTATGCTCCGTCCGACGGAGTTCGTCCGGCGGTTATCTTGAAAAAAACACGACTGACGGTCCGTCGCATGTGAAAACGCTGTTAGACCTTAAACTTAAAGGAAAAAAAGTTCCGTTGCGATTTTTTTTGTATGTGGTATAGATATTCGGTAGAGGATTTAGTTTAAGCTTACATTTTCGAAACTGTCTTTGTTCCTGACGTGCTGAGCGATGAACTTGGAATCGGCGATCGTCTTCTCCAGATCCCTGCCGTCCAATTTTTCGAAGCCGGGACTTATGTCGCTCGGCACGTCGAAGGTGCCCGTCCGACAGCTGGCAGGACTGTATAGCTCCTCGTCGCCACCGGCCAGTGGCAGGGGAAAGGGGGGCTCGCCGAAACAGGAGCCTAATCCGGGAGGCGGGATTTCGAACCTCGTAGATGGAAGACCTGTGACAAATTCCCAATATAAAAGGGTGTCCCAATATTCTGCGGACATAGAATAAAAGAAACAAGTTTAGATTGGAAAGTGCTCATAAGGAAAATGTATTGGCGCTATTCTTTAACAGTCGCTCTCAAAAGCTTTTGATAATTTCGGAGCGGTTCGGCTTTTTCCGAAATTATGTCGCCAAATATTATTTATTCAAACTTATTATTATTTTCTTTTAATTTTTAAATAAAATACAGTGTGTTGAGTGTTGCACAGAAGAAACTTTATTTTATATAAGTATAAGGACATGTATGAAATACCTATGAAACATTGGAAACTGATGTTATGCCACGATCCACGATAGTTTTTGCATTCACAGTTCACACATTTCTCTTAAGTTTTTAATGCTACTTTTTCACAATTATCACGGGTTTGCAGCCCCGGATCTACAATTTTTTTGAACCGGGGCAAAAATTGATTGCCCTCTCTCCAGCGTTTGCAATAAATTAATTTCAAAAACTTACAAATATCTAGATATAGGATATAGGTAGGAATTTTTCGTAAACGGGACAGAATGAGCCCTTAAGATTCATTCAGAACCTCCGAATTAGTGGTTTCAATTAGCTTAGAAGTTTGTTCCTTTAATTTCAATGTAAGCATTCAGAACGTCTAAATTAGTTGTAGTCATTTTTAATTAGTAGAAAAAGTAAACAAATTTTTGACTTTTCCACTAATTATACTTCAAATTTTGCGAGAAATGTCATTTTGGCCATTGATAAGCATCCGTCAAGAGAAATCGTGGTTAGAAATCAAAAGTTTATTGTTTTATAACTTTGAATAAAAAGTTTTATAAGCTAAATATTTGGCTTTCTTTATGGATGCAACTGACTACCGCAAGCTGTTGTTAGGATATTCTATTAATTTTAATTGTGTTTTTTAAACATTGTGAATGATCGTAAACTAAAAAGTAAAAAGAGTAATTATTGAAACCGCTAATTTATTCCACTAATTGCGAGGTTCTGAATGAAACTTTAGAATGTGTTCAAAAACTAACTGGGCGTTTTAAAATAAAATGAATACTTGATAGAAGAACGTAAGGTGCATACTAGGCGCTTTGTGGAGCAATTTTTTTGATTTTCAACCATCTTATGATTTTGGCGCCCCCTGACATTGGCGCCCGGGGCAGGTGCCCCGGTTTGCCCCCCCTTAGATCCGGGGCTGCGGGTTTGAGTAAATAAAATTTAAATTTAGCTCACAAGATAGCAATAATTACTTTGAAAATGGACGCTTTAAACACTTTTCGGTATTGTTCATGTATTTTTTTCAATGAGGGCGGTTTAAATTTTGAAAGATCTTATAATGGTCTTATAATTTTTGAAGATTCTGATTTTGACAAGAGAAAATTATTTCTGTTCTTGTTTGCTGTATTTCTTCGCAACCGCTATAGCACCGCCCTACAACGTATGCGCTCAAAAACAGTTATAAGTTTTGGCGGCAAGCAGAGCGTTCCAATCAGAGTTGTTAAACTACACGTAGTAATTAATAAACTACATTTACTACATGTAACAAGTAGTTTTTAAATGTCGAGTAGTAAATGTGTAGTTTATGTAACTAATGTAGTTTTTTAAAATAACGGTGAAAACAAATCTATATTTTGTGAATTTGTTCCTTATGTGATATTTTTGATACTTAGTAGTTAAAAATTAGAATTTATAGTTTATTTTGTGTTTAATATTACTTTGTATTTCATAGAAAATACACTTTTATTGAAAAAAAATTGTTTTTTTTTCTGATGTTGTTTAACTTTAATATACTACCGTATAATATAATCGTATGATCGAAAAAAAACGGCGTCCAGTTGGCTTGGAAATGACGATCGATGACATTTCCCATATAATTTTACATATAAAATGACAGCGATCTTCATTTTATAGCCATCATCGTTGACGCCGTTTTTATTCGATCATACGCTATAACTTCATACTTACATGATAAGAATTTGGCTTGATTTTTGTTTAAAATCTAAATTGTTTATGTTTTACTATATTTTTGTAGGTAGTTTTTAATGTAGTTTTTATGTAGTTTTTGAAGGTAGTTTTTAAAATTTTAAAACGTAGTTAATACAAAAAACTACGCGTAGTTTTTGGCGTAGTTTTTTGCTTCATAAACTACTTAACAACCCTGGTTCCAATCTAAACTTGTTTCTTTATCTATGACATGAAACTACTACGTATTTTTGAAATCAAAATAATTTCATTGGACACAATTTACCTCTATACAAAAGTGCTTCGTGTGTCCGCTAGGGGGCATTAAATTTTAAAAAATAAACACATTTTATCAGATATTTTAAAAACCGTTATTCCGACTGAATGATTTTTTGGGTGTCGATTTTTTTTGTCGATAACATTTGACTTTCACATAAATCAAGAAAAAGTACGGCAAGGATGAAAACTACCTCCACCTCGACATAAATTTCATAAATTTTAGTATAAGTATTTTCCAACATAACCGACGACAGATTTTCTTTTCGTAAAATGGTCCCTCTAGTATTTACTACATTTTTGTCTCTTGTAAAAAACGCCACATCGCATAGGTTTTGAAGAAAAAATTGCCGGATTTATTTTTCCAAAGCAGAAATACATACTTACTAAATATAGAAAGAGTTTAAATATTCCGTGGACATAGAACAACTACGTATTTTTTGAATCAAAAAAAGTTAATTGTACATAATTTACCTTTATACAAAAGTGCTTTGTTTGTCCGCTAGAGGGCACCAAACAAAAATAAACACGAACGATAGTTAATTTAAAATTTATTATTTTTTAAGCTTCTTATGACGCTTATTGTCAAGTATAATTTATGATACTAACATAAAATTCCATGTTTTCACCGGCTAGATTACTAGAGCATAATAGATTTTATGCGCCTCCATATGATGTGACAAAAATATTTTTTGGAAGTCAGCTTCGGAATAATATGATTTTTCCTCAAAAAGTATGCGCAATGGAGTTTTTTTACAAGAGACAAAAACTGTAGTAAATACTAGAGGGATTATTCTACGAAAAAAATCTGAGTTGGAAAATATTTATACCAAAATTTCTGTAGGGGTGGGGGTAGTTTGCGCCCTTCTCGAAATTTTCTTGATTGTTGTGATAGTCAAATGTTAAAGCGCTTAGCAAAACATAGACAATAAACTTATTTAGATTCCAAAAATACCTAGTACTTGTACGTTTGCGGAAATTCAGGACATCCTGTATAGTATAGGCTACTATTTTATATAACATACGTTCACAGCTTTCTTTTTTTTACTCTTCAACTTCGAAGTCGTTCCAAAAACTTGAAGTAGATTAATTATAAAATAATACATACAATGAAATAAAATTCACAAGTTACATAGTATTAAGCATGTATTAGCTTCATTCCGAACCTCGTAATTAGTGGTTTCAATTAGCGTAGAAGTTTGTTCCATTAATTTCAATGATCAGTAATAAGCATTCAGAACGTCAAAATTAGTGGTAGACATTTTCTAGAGAAACTTATCAAAGTTTTAACTTTGATAAGTTTTTTAACTTTTCCATTAATTATACTTCAAAATTTGCGAAAAATGTAATTTTGGCCTTTGATTATCTTCCGTCAAGAAACATTGTGGTTAGAAATCAAAAGTTGATTGTTTCATAAGCTAAATATGCTTATAGGTTTTCTCTATGGATACAACTGACTACCGCAAGCTGTTGCTGGGATATTTTATTAATTTTTATTGTGTTTTTTAGACATTGTGAATGATCGTAAACTAAAAAGTATAAAGTGTAATTGAAACGACTAATTTATTCCACTAATTGCAAGGTTCTGAATGAAGCTTTATACTTTTTAGTATACGATCATTCACAATGTCTTGAAAACGCAATTAAAATTAATAGAATATCCTAGCAACAGCTTGCGGTGGTCAGTTGTATCCATAGAGAAAGCCTAAGATTTAACTTATAAAACAATAAACTTTTGATTTCTAACCACAATTTATATTGTCGGATGATAATCAAAGGCCAAAATGACATTTAAAAAAGGCGTCCGTTAATTTTCAGCAGCAAGTTTTGAGTCTTTTTGCTTTGTCTTTTGCAAAATGACATTCCCCGCAACTTTTGAAGTATAATTAGTGGAAAAGTTAAGAGTTTGTTAACTTTTTTCACTAATTGAAGATTACTACCATTAATTTTGACGTTGTGAATGTTTTTTTTTGTGAATTTAACCACAAATTTTGTGTTTTTTAGTGTAAAAACCCCATTTTTCTCTTGACAGATGATAATTAAAGGCCAAAATAACAGTCCTCGCAAATTTTGAAGTATAATTAGTGGAAAAGTCGAAAGTTTGTTAACTTTATCCACTAATTGAAAATTCCTACCACTAATTTTGACCTTCTGAATGCTTCTGAATTAATCAAAGGCCAAAATGACAGTCCTCGCAAATTTTGAAGTATAATTAGTGGAAAAGTTGAAAATGTGTTAACTTTATCCACTAATTGAAAATTCCTACCACTAATTTTGACGTTCTGAATGCTTCTGAACTAATTAAAGGCCAAAATGACAGTCCTCGCAAATTTTGAAGTATAATTAGTGGAAAAGTTGAAAGTTTGTTAACCTTATCCACTAATTGAACATCCCTACAACTAATTTTGACGTTCTGAATGCTTCTGAACCGAGGGGTGTCTCACTCGGGTAAAAAATGTACACGTACTGCCAAAATATCCTTCCACTGCTAAGCGACTGCCAATGACTGCGAAGAAGACTGCCGATGACTGCCATGTAATTATTATGGGCGACTGCCGTAAGACTGCCAGCGACTGCCAAGAAAATGTACAGGTAATTCCAATAGTGAGACACCCCTCGTTCTGAACTAATCAAAGGCCAAAATGTCAGTTCTCGCAATTTTGAAGTATAATTAGTGGAAAAGTTGAAAATTTGTTAACTTTATCCACTAATTGAAAATTCCTACCACTAATTTTGACGTTCTGGAGCTTCTGAACTAATCAAAGGCCAAAATGACAGTCCTCGCAAATTTTGAAGCATAATTAGTGGAAAAGTTGAAAGTTTGTTAACTTTATCCACTAATTGAAAATTCCTACCACTAATTTTGACGTTCTGAATGCTTCTGAACTAATTAAAGGCCAAAATGACAGTCCTCGTAAATTTTAAAGTATAATTAGTGGAAAAGTTGAAAGTTTGTTAACCTTATCCACTAATTGAATATCCCTACAACTAATTTTGACGTTCTGAATGCTTCTGAAGTAATCGAAGGCCAAAATGACAGTTCTCGCAATTTTGAAGTATAATTAGTGGAAAAGTTGAAAATTTGTTAACTTTAACCACTAATTGAAAATTCCTACCACTAATTTTGACGTTCTGAAGCTTCTGAACTAATCAAAGGCCAAAATGACAGTCCTCGCAAATTTTGAAGTATAATTAGTGGAAAAGTTGAAAGTTTGTTAACCTTATCCACTAATTGAACATCCCTACCACTAATTTTGACGTTCTGAATGCTTCTGAACTAATCAAAGGTCAAAATGACAGTCCTCGCAAATTTTGAAGTATAATTAGTGGAAAAGTTGAAAATTTATAAACTTTATCCACTAATTGAAAATTCCTACCACTAATTTTAACTTTCTGAATGTTTGTGAACTAATCAAAGGCCAAAATTACAGTCCTCGCAAATTTGGAAGTATAATTAGTGGAAAAGTTGAAAGTTTGTTAACTTTATCCACTAATTGAAAATTCCTACCACTAATTTTGACGTTCTGAATGCTTACATTCAAATTAGAGGAACGCACTTCTACTACTAACTTATTCCACTAATTGTGAGGTTCTGTATGTTTCTGAATTAAGCTTGGTTCTGTGTATGGTTCTGAATGAAGCTTTATTTCGATAACTTACCTAAATCAAAACTATCGTAACTAGTTTTGTCGTACATCTTGAACTTGTCCGACATGGGCATCTGGATGACATCCGTCAGCATCGAGTCCACCTTGTCCTCGTCCCCGTCCTTTCTCGGCCGCTTGATAAACAGATACGGCGGCAAAGTCTCGATAAACACCGTCCGCACCCACGGGGCCAACTTGTGGGTGACGGGCGACCGAAAATTGACGTTCAGCACCGCGATCGTCACCACCACCGACAGCGTACAGAGCAGCATGGTGAACAGCAGGTACTTGCCCAACAGCGGGACCGTGATGCTCGTGGGCGGGATGATTTCGACCAGCAGCAAAAAGAACACGGTGAGCGACAACAGGATCGATATACTGAGCGATACCTTTTCGCCGCTGTCGCTCGGGAGGTAGAAGACGAGGATGGAGAGGAAGGAGATGCCGACGCAGGGGATGATTAAATTGACGGTGTAGAAAAGTGTTTTTCGGCGCAGGGTGATGTTGAAGATGATGTCGGGGTAGGGCTCCTCGCAGCAGGAGTAGTACTTTTCGTTGCGCACGGCGGGCACCTTCATGATGTCCCATTCGACGGATATGTAGTAGTCTTGGAGGTCGATGCCGACGTCTATGTTATTGCTGTTTTCGGTTTGCTTGAGGTGTCGCAGGTCAATCTAAATCAATATGATTTTATTAGTGTCATTCAATACATGTTAGGAGCAAAAATTGTTAAAATTGTCTTCGAATCGACCGATAAGAGACCAGTTTACAAAAAATCACAGTTGAATGGAGCAGTTCGAACTAACGGCATTGTTCCTGTCTAGAATAATATATTTCCTATTTTATTCTAAAATGAATATAATTTTAGAATACAATTTTTGTAGCCGTTAGAGAAATTATCATAATTTTTGGAGATATGATACACTTTTATATACTTTTATAGAAATGTTATTAAAAAATACTTATGTATATAGGTTGTAAAATTTAACTGTTCAAATTACATTACTATACCAGGTGTGTCTCAAAAGTGGCTCACCCTTATAACTTTTTTTATTTTTTCAGATAAAAAAACGAGATTTGGTATGTTTGGTTGTATATGACATAAATTGGGATTGATTGGCGTATTCCATTGTTTTCGGTCACTGTTTCACCGGAAATTATTACCACTTTTGATTTTTAAATGGCATGGTATATTTTTCTTTATTTGATAGAAAATGACACTGAATAGAATGACATATCATACGTCAACTTTTGACATTTTCTTAAAAAAATCGTATTTTAAATTTCAATCTAGGGTGCCATGGTTGTGTTAAAAATACTAATTTTTAATCAAGGTGTCTTGGAAAAATAGATTTGATCGTCTAATGTTTTTCGTGTCTTGTCCTGACCGGTTAAAAGATGCCCAAATCGTATTTTTAATCATATCTTATTTTTTTTAATGGAACAAGGGTGGCTCATTAGCATATTTGGAAAAGGCATTTTTTACGAATAATTTGGTACCACACACTTGATATTTTGAGTCATATTGTCGTTATGAACCGCATGTTACAATTTCAGATAAACCGTATGCGAAAATGCTATTCAGTGTTATTTTCTATCGAATAAAGTGATAAATACCGAGGATGTCATTTCAAAAATCAAAAGTTAAGTCATTTCCGGTGAAACAGGAAGTGACCAAAAATAATTGAATACGTCAATTAATCCTAATTTATGTCATATACTAACATACCAAATCTCATTTTTTTATATGGAAAAATGAAAAAGTTATAAGGGTGAGCCACTTTTGAGACGCACCCGGTATATTATTTCTTGAAAAAAATCCGTGTTTTTCGCCACTGGAAGGTAAAGTACAAAATAAAAAATTATTTTTTTTTGTAAACGTTGAAAGTAAAATCAACTTGTCTAACCGACAAAAATGCTAACGTTTCAGGAGGTATATCTCCTCCCGTCAGCGTCGTCAGAAGCAAAAAAAACATAAAAAGAAAAAACTTTAAAACGTTTACATACAATAATTATACTATTCAAAAATAATTTAGTTTTCAACAGATACGTCTCTTAAATTCTGCATATAATGCCTTCAATCTACACAGGTTGTTCCATCCAAAAGTCGTCCAAATCATCCAAGTACATAAAAAATGGTGGACATTAAAAATCTCAGTTGGAATTGAATCATCTAAACAGAAAATTGAACAAAATTCATTGTTCTTGTCAAAATTATAATAATGTGATTTTAAATAAAAATGTTTCCTCGCCTATTAGTTTGCGTGAAACCCAATGTAATTTATTTCACACACCAAATGGCCGTCGTACGTCCAACTTCCGAAATTCATGGGACAGGTTTACTCGTTGAATTAATTACAGATAGTTTCGATATTGCGTACTAGTTTCATTAAGATAGCACGTGAGTTATACAAATTCAAATTCGAAAATTGACGAGGCCAGAAGGTATTATTGTCGGCATTCGAGGTTAAATCAGAAATTATAAACAGTAAATTATAGACATCTAGGGCCGTAAAGGTTGATTCTCACTATACCTTCCGTTTCCTTTCCAATCCATTCCATATCCGTTCCGTATTTTTTATTATATTGACGCTATACGTAAGCTTCCGTTCCGTATCAGTTCCATACTTTTTATTGTACAATTCTATCATTACGAAAGTTTTATTTAAAAAATTTGTGTCTTTTGAAAAAGGTAATAGTTTTAATTAAGAGGTGAAAGAATAAATAAATATCAGCAAAATGATAACAGAGCTGGTAGAAATGTAAGAACTTGATAACGCTGTTTCCTATACCCTTCAGTCCGTCCGCCAAAAAATGTATGGAAGGAAAGGATATGGAACGGATAGTGTGCATTGTCCTATTCATTTACATGATATAATATTTTGTGTAAACGGCAGGGAGCTGATATGGAAGGTATAGTGAGAATTAACGTTTATACGGGCTGCAGCAGAGCTTGTGATTTTAGACGCCATTTTTTTTTGGATGTAACTAATGTGTCATCTGCTACAATTTTAGCGATTTTTAATAGTTTGTATGTAGTGAACTTTGTATAAACTTTATTACAATCGTGATTAGTTTCAGCTTTCAAGTGTAAAAGCCGCAGGGATAATAAAAAGCCAGGAGTTACGTTTTATAGGTAAATAAACAGCTTACTCCACCTTTTTTTTTTATTGAAGTCGATAATTATTTTTCTGATATTACATGTACAGGGTGTCCCATTTTGGTTGAAATCATACGGTATCTCCGTTATTCGTGAAGATAGAAGGGTGCGGTTTTTACAAACCTCTGCCACTTTTTTGTCAAATGGAAGATGCTGTCAACAAAATTTTTATAACCCTTTTCGTTTCTGAGCTACAGGGTCTTTTCGAAAATTTTGCAATTTGGGACTGCCCCCGTATCTTCGTTATTATGGATGATATCGAAAAGGTGAAAACTGATTCTTGTAGAACTTTTTACGTAGAATACAGTGGCGTAGTCTGTTTTTCTACGAAAAAAATATTTTTCAAAATATGAACTAAAGTTATGTTTTTTCAAATGGAACACCCTGTATATTGACAAATCACTCTATATTTATTTTCACTATTTACTACAATATTTAAAATATATCATTTTCCTATTAGTAGGCCGTGATAAATAACAAAATCTAAATGGTATTTACTAAAATAGACATGCACATATTAAAATTTTATTTGGAATTGATATATTTTACTTTTGAACTGTTACCACTGAACCTCTAAATATATTTTTCTCTTTTTTATAACGGAATTTATTATAATGGGATGGGTTTGCAAATATTTAAAAGCTTGCATTATTGAAGCATTTTTCAAGTGTTCAACATCGTATTAGTTGCCACGATATATTTCATATTTCAAAAATCCCCAAAATCAGAGATCGAGAACAGACAAATCCGGGAATCAGGGAGGCTATCATATGGGTACATTGGTTCCAGTTCATTGATTTGAGAAATAATAATTTAACAAAATTCTAATATTTTCATTGTAAGTTAAGTTATGAGGGGGAGCTCCATCTTGCTGAAAGTATATTTCACGTAAATTAGCTAAAGGAATATTTAAAAGTTCCGATACGATAGCTTCCAAGATTTACGAATAGCGGTAGAGATTTAAGTTTCCCTAATATACAAAGAATTAATTAGTGGCTCTCATAATAAAATAAAGGACAGATAGCAATATTACTCTTAACAATTTGATTAGTTTCTTTTATTATCAATCATGGCCTACTAAAAAAATGATCTTTTAATATGTTTCTTTTTAAATATTGCCTTAAATAATGAAAACAAATATAGAGTGTTATATATTTTTGAGAAGCTTATAACAAGCCAGATCATATAATTTATAAATATACAGGGTGTTCTATTTAATAAAACATAACTTTAGTTCATATTTTTAAAAATATTATTTTCGTAGAATAACACACTACATCACTGTATTCTACGTAAAAAGTTCTACAATAAGCAGTTTTCACCGTCTCAATATCTTTAACAATAACTGAGATACGGGGGGGTCCCAAATTGCAAAATTTTCAAAAAGACCCTGTAGCTCAGAAACGAAGAGGGCAATGGAAATTTTGTTTGCATCTTCCATTTGACAAAAAAGTGGCACAGGTATGTGCAAACCGCACCCTTCTATCTTCACGAATAACGGAGATACCGTATGATTTCAACCAAAATGGGACACCCTGTACTTGATATGTGCTATAGGTACGTCGATACTAGTTTTGTACCTTTTGTTAACATTTTAATACGTTTTTTTTTCTCAATTAGTATGATACCACTGCATACACCATAGGCGAAGTCAAAATATTTATGAAAAATATAAATATCTCTTCAAGCAGCTAAGTTAAGAAAAATATGTGTCACGGCACTGTTTGGAGGTATGATAACAATTTGCTCTCGGATGTTTTAGTCCTTGTATTATAATAACTTAAATTATTATTTAAAAAAAATATACTTACATTAAATTCTACGTATAAAGGTGCTTTGGAAATGTTTTCATAAAAATACAAAATTTTCCGTAGCAAAAAAGTTATAGCGATTTCTTAAGAAAGCTCATTTTTGAAAAACACCCCGTAACTCCGAAACGGTATCATTTGTCGATGTACGGTTTTTACCATCATGTTTCTGATAAAAAATAAACTTCAGACACTGATATTAGTTTTCGTCTATCTCTTATAGAACAGGGTGTTTCCCTTTAAAAGTGTCCAATTTGGTCCACCCTGTACAATACCGGGTGAGTCTCAAAAGTGGCTCACTCCTATAACTTTTATTTTTTTCAGATAAAAAAACGAGATATAATATAAATTAGGATTGATTGACGTATTCAATTGTTTTCGGTCACTTCCTGTTTCACCAGAAATAACTACAACTTTTGATTTTTAAATGACACCTTCGGTATTTTTTTATTTTATTCGATAGAAAATGACACTCTGAATAGAATGACATATTAATATGTCAACTTTTGACATTGTCGCATATGGTTTATTTGAAATTGTAACATGCGGTTGATAACGACAATTTGACTCGAAATACCAAGTGTGTGGTGCCAAATTATTCATAAAAAAATGTTTTTTTTCCAAATATGCCAAAGAGCCAATCTTGTTCCATTTGAAAAAATTGAGATATGATCAAAAATACGATTTGGGCATCTTTTAACCGGCCAGAACAAGACACGAAAAACATTAGATGATCAAATCTATTTTTCCAAGGGCTTCTTGATTAAAAATTAGCGTTTTTAACACAACCATGGCGCTCTAGATTGAAATTTAAAATACGATTTTTTAAGCGAAAATGTCAATGTCGCATATCATGACATATGCTATGTCATTCTATTCAGAGTCATTTTTTATCGAATAAAGTAAAAATATACCGAGGGTGCTATTTCCGGTCTAACAGGAAGTGACTAAAAACAATTGAATTCGTCAATCAATCCTAATTTATGTGATATACAAACATACTAAATCTCCTTTTTTATTTGAAAAAATAAAAAAAGTTATAGGGGTGAGCCACTTTTAAGCCACACCATGTATATTAATGTAATTTGAATAGTTAAATTCTACAACCTACTTTAATTATTTTTTAATAAAATTACTATACAATTATCGAGAAAATTATATAAAAGTGTATGATGTCCAAAAATTATGATAATTTCTCTAAGCGTCACCAAAATTTTCAAAAATCTTACGGAAAGAAAGCTTTTAATTTCAAATGAAATATATGTTATTCTACACAGGAACAATGCGTTTAGTTCGAACTGCTCCATTTTAACTATACTTTTTTGTCGTTACGAACCGCATGTTATAATTTCAAATATACCAAATGTGAAAATGTTAAAAGTTGACATATATATGATATATCATTCTATTCAGAGTGATAAAAAAATGATTCAAAGATATAAAAAATCATAATTACAATGGTGCAATTTGAACTAACCGCATTTGTTCCTGTCTAATATAACAAATTGGCCTTAAAATTAAAATATTTCTTCGTCTATATACGGTCGGGTTAAACCCTGACGTAATTTATCTGACCTACCATATAGCCGTCGTACGTCCAACTTCCGAATTTCATGAAACAGGTCTGCTCGTCGAACGGGAAATACTCCACGTCGATTTCGCAGAACGATTTGTAAATGGCTGGCGGTTTCCAGATCACTTTACCGGTGTGGTGGAGAATGGCCTTAGTCATTATGGTCACTTCGTAGTTACCGTCGGCACTGAAACCATTAACGAGATGGAATTACCAGACGGAATTTAATAAGTTACCTCAATAACTTCAGAACTAATCGACCCAGAAACTGACGGATTAAATTTTAAATCATTTTACACAGATTAAGTTATTGACACAAAATGAAGATATTATATAAATGTCACATCCTAAACTACAGGGTTGTTCACCACATACCACACGGAGTATTGTGGCTAAACGACTAGATTTTTACAAATTGTAAGTTTTGGGCTCGATGAAGGACTATTAGAGCTACAATATAAAATTATTTTTACAAGATACAGATTGTCCCAAGTAAGTAAAAAATATTATTGTTGTATTTATTTAAATGGAACGCCCTGTATATTATTCCATTTTTAGATTCTACGAATGAAATAAATTATCCTGGTGCCGACATCGGCTCTGACCATAACCCCCTGATCGCAGACTTTCAATTTAGACTCAAACTAATATCGGAGAAAAGAGCAACAACACAGAGACATTATAACATTGATAGACTGAGGGAACCAGCAGTTGCAGACAGAATGAAAGTCGAATTAACAGAACTATGGGCAAGTTATAACAACAATCCCGGACTTAACGATAGTCCAGATGACATATGGAACAACATAAAACAAAACATTCTGACTGTTTCCAACGCTTTTCTGACACCAACAACAACAAAGAAAAACAAACCATGGATGACCGATGAGATACTCTCCCTCATGGAGAACAGAAGAATTACAAAAGTCGAACAACAACAACAAAGATACACCGAAATAAATAAAACTATTAAACAACAATGCCAACAAGCTAAAGAGAACTGGGTAACGGCAGAATGCCAAGAGGCGGAACGCATGCATGCTCTGCACGACTCTGTAAATTTTCATAGAAAACTCAAACAAATTAGTGGAATCACAAGAAAAGCACCAATACCTGCCCTAAAACACAATGGGAAATTGATTTTAGACCCGGTAGATCTATGCAGCACATGGAAAAGCTATGCACAGTTATTATTTGAAGACCAAAGAAAAGAGAGACAACCTCTCAATTGTGAAGACTGGTCGGGCCCGGAAATTCTTGAATCTGAAGTTCAGCATGCTATGAAAGCTATGAAAAATCGAAAAAGCCCCGGTCATGACAACGTGCATGCAGAAGTTCTTAAAATATTTAACTCAAAGCATCTCACATATCTATTCAATCGAATATACGATACGGGTAAAATTCCAAACGACTGGCTAAAATCAACTTTTATAACAATTCCAAAAAAGGCATATCCAAAAGACTGTAGTGACTACAGACTTATGTCTAATGAGTCATGCTCTGAAACTTTTTCTTCGTGTCATGCATGCTCGTATATACTCGAAATGTGAAGAAAAAAGCGGAGAGACACAGTTCGGCTTCATTAAGGGGCTGGGTACCAGAGAGGCTTTGTTTTCAATCAAGTTGTTATGATCAGATCAGTTGTTATGTTACAATCCAGAAATGTTATGATCAACGCCAAGATGTCTTTGTGTGCTTCATAGATTATCAGAAGGCTTTCGACAACGTTAAACACGATATTCTCCTAAACAGACTGCTCGAGATAGGAATAGACGCCAAAGACATTAGAATCATACAGGAACTATATTGGAACCAAGCCGCAGAGATAAGAGTTAACAAAAATTTATCCACAGACACGTTCAATGCCTGTCAAGGAGTCCGCCAGGGCTGTATACTGTCACCAATACTTTTTAATATATACGTCGAAAAAATATTTCAAATGGCCCTGGAAGGAGAAAGTGCAGGAATTAAGATTAACGGAGTTCCAATTAACAATATAAGATATGCAGATGATACGGCAATACTAGCACGAACTTTAGAGGATCTCCAGCAAATAATAAATAAGATAGAGGACATTGGAAATCGTTTCGGTCTTAAAATCAACGCTGCCAAGACCAAATTTATGGTAATAGGACGCCAGCCTACAATCAACACCGCATTGACCGTGGATGGAAATATTATAAGGCGAGTTCCACGATTTAAATATCTGGGTGCCATGATCAATGACCGATGGGACTGCGATGAGGAAGTTAAACTTAGAAGGAATTATGCAAAGTCGACATTTTTTAAACTTAAAAACTTCCTATTAGCACGCAGTCTCCCGCTAACACTTAGACTACGGGTAGTGAAATGCTACATATGGCCCATCTTACTTACGGCGCAGAAGCCTGGTCACTCAAGGCTAGAACCCTGAACCGCATCGAGGCTTTCGAAATGTGGACTCTCCGGAGACTCTTACGTGTGCCATGGACCGCACATGCAACCAACGAAGAAGTTTTAAGAACTGCAGGCTATGAACGAGAAATGCTTAATATAGTTAAAGAAAGGAAAGTCTTATACCTCGGCCATATCAAAGAATATCTTAATACCCTAGAAGTCTCGTCTCGCATCAAAATCTGACCTGTCGATGGGGCCTCGCTTTGGCGAGCGAGGCCCCAACTTCGTGGGGCCTCGCTATTTTGCTCGGAATTGAACGAACAGACGAGCGGCGTTGCCTTGTTTTGTATGTACTTTCTTGAATAATTTTAAATTATAGTTTTAAATTTCATCTATTGCTATAATCAGTCTTTCCGCTCTCCGCTCTCCGCACTCCGCAGTTTTCATATAATATTATCTATACCTATAATTCTCGTGTTACAGTTTTGGATGGTTTTGGTTACCGTACTTCTCCGAAACGGCTTAACCGATTTTGATAAAATTTTATATGTATATCAGTACGTCTAAGAATAGGTTGTTATCTATTTTATACTCTTAACTGATAAGGGTAGCTGAGAGGGTAGCCCACCCTCATTTTTTTTAGTTTTTGAAAAGAAAAAAATGTTTTTATTTTTTTATTTGGCATTAAGAAATACAAACAACCCTAAATTTTCACCGTTCTGCTATCATCCCCTATTTTTAATAGGGGTTGTTTTTATATTTTTTTTGTTGCCATCTCCGAAACGGCTTAGCCGATTTTGATGAAATTTTATATGTATATTGAGTAGGTCTGAAAATAGGTTGTTATATATTTTTTATACCCTTAAGTGATAAGTGGGTAGCCCACCCCATTTTTTTTTATTGAAAAAAAAAAAATATTTTAATTTTTTTATTTGGCATTAAAAATACAAACAACCCTAAATTTTCACCGTTCTACCATCATCCCCTATTTTTAATAGGGGATGTTTTTTTTTAATTTTTGTTACCATCTCCGAAACGGCTTGATCGATTTTGATGAAATTTTATATGTATATTCAGTAGGTCTAAGAATACGTTGTTATCTATTTTATATACCTTTAAGTGATAAGGGTAGCCCACCCCCCATTTTTTTTATTTTTGAAAAAAAAAAATTTTAATTTTTTTTATTTGGCATTAAAAAATACAAACAACCTAAATTTTCACCGTTCTACCATCATCCCTATTTTTAATAGGGGATTTTTTTTAAATTTTTGTTACCATCTCCGAAACGGCTTGATCGATTTTGATGAAATTTTATATGTATATTCAGTAGGTCTGAGAATACGTTGTTATCTATTTTTATACCCTTAAGTGATAAGGGTAGCCCACCCCATTTTTTTTTTTTGAAAAAAAATATTTTAATTTTTTTTATTTGGCATTAAAAAATACAAACAACTCTAAATTTTCACCGTTCTACCATCATCCCCTATTTTTTAATAGGGGTTGTTTTTTAAGTTTTTTGTTACCATCTCCGAAACGGCTTAACCGATTTTGATAAAATTTTATATGTATATTCAGTACGTCTAAGAATAGGTTGTTATCTATTTTTTATACCCTTATGTGGTAAGGGTAGCCGAGAGGGTAGCCCACCCCCATTTTTTGTTTTTTGAAAAGAAAAAAATGTTTTTATTTTTTAGTTGGCATTAAAAAATACAAATAACCCTAAAATTTCACCGTTCCATCATCATCCCCTATTTTTTAATAGGGGTTGTTTTTTTTTATTTTTTTGTTACCATCTCCGAAACGGCTAGACCGATTTTGATAAAATTTTATATGTATATTCAGTAGGTCTGGTTTGGTTTGGTTTGGTCACAACCTATTCCCAGGTTATCTATTTTTTATACCCCTAAGTGATAAGAGTGGTCCACCCCAACTTTTTTTTTATTTTTTAGACAAATTTTTTTTATTTTAATTGTTTTATAGGGAGTGCTTATTTTTTAGGGGGTGCATGTCCAAAATTTTCTTCTGGGTACTCACTTTCATCACTTAAGGGACCTCTCTACAAAATTGCATATTCCTAGTCCTAGAACGGATTTTACATACAAATTATACAAATGTTTACCCTTAGTTTTATCCCCTTAAGGAATGAATTCCAAAAATCGCTCTAATTATTCAATTACGCTACATAATAAACCTCTGTGCAAATTCTCATATTCCTTTAACAGAATTTATTGTTCCAGAACGTTCAACCCTTCATTTCACACCCTTAGAGGGCGAATTTCCAAAAATTGCTTCTTAGTGCTAAATTACGTTACATAAGGAACGTCTGCAAAATTCATACTTCTAAAACCGATTTTAACAAATTTTTGTACAAATTTTCATCCCTTATTTTTTAGGGTATGCATGCCTAAAATTCGCTTCTAGGTACTCACTTTCATCATTTAAGGGACCTCTGAACATAATTTCATACTCCTAGTCCCAGAATGGATTTTACATAAAAAATTATACAAATGTTCACCCCTAGTTTTACCCCCTTAAGGAATGAATTCCAAAAATCACTCTAATTATTCAATTACGCTACATAATAAACCTCTGTGCAAATTCTAATATTCCTTTAACAGAATTTATTGTTCCAGAACGTTCAACCCTTCATTTCACACCCTTAGAGGGCAAATTTCCAAAATTGCTTCTTAGTGCTAAATTACGTTACATAAGGAACGTCTGCAAAATTCATACTTCTAAAACCGATTTTAACAAATTTTTGTACAAATTTTCATCCCTTATTTTTTAGGGGATGCATGCCTAAAATTCGCTTCTAGGTACTCACTTTCATCATTTAAGGGACCTCTGAACATAATTTCATACTCCTAGTCCTAGAACGGATTTTACATAAAAAATTATACAAATTTTCACCCCTAGTTTTACTCCCCTTAAGGAATGAATTCCAAAATCACTCTAATTATTCAATTACGCTACATAAGGAACCTCTGTGCAAAATTTTCATATTCCTTCAACAGAATTGTTTCAGAACGTTCACCCCTCATTTCACACCCTTAGAGGGCGAATTTCCAAAAATTGCTTCTTAGTGCTAAATTACGTTACATAAGGAACGTCTGCAAAATTCATACTTCTAAAACCGATTTTAACAAATTTTTGTACACATTTTCATCCCTTATTTTTAGGGGATGCATGCCTAAAAATTCGCTTCTAGGTACTCACTTTCATCATTTAAGGGACCTCTGAACAGAATTTCATACTCCTAGTCCTAGAACGGATTTTACGTAAAAAATTATACAAATTTTCACCCCTAGTTTTACCCCCTTAAGGAATGAATTTCAAAAATCACCCTAATTATTCAATTACGCTACATAAGAAACCTCTGTGCAAATTTTCATATTCCTTCAACAGAATTGTTTCAGAACGTTCACCCTTCATTTCACACCCTTAGAGGGCGAATTTCCAAAAATTGCTCTCTTAGTGCTAAATTACGTTACAAAAGGAACGTCTGCAAAATTCATACTTCTAAAACCGATTTTAACAAATTTTTGTACAAATTTTCATCCCTTATTTTTTAGGGGATGCATGCCTAAAATTCGCTTCTAGGTACTCACTTTCATCATTTAAGGGACCTCTGAACAGAATTTCATACTCCTAGTCCTATAACGGATTTTACATAAAAAATTATTCAAATTTTCACCCCTAGTTTTACCCCTAGTTCATTCCTTTTTAAGGAATGAATTCCAAAAATCACTCTAATTATTCAATTACACTACATAAGGCACCTCTGTGCAAATTTTCATATTCCTTCAACAGAATTGTTTCAGAACGTTCACCCCTCATTTCACACCCTTAGAGGGCGAATTTCCAAAAAGTGCTACTTAGTGCTAAATTACGTTACATAAGGAACGTCTGTGCAGAATTTCATACTTCTAAAACCGATTGTAACAAACTTTTGTACAAATTTTCATCCCTTATTTCTAGGGGATGAATGTCAAAAATTAGCTTCTAGGTACTCACTTTCGTCACTTAAGGAAACTCTGTACAAAATTTCATACTCCTAGAACTAACATTTTTTGTACAAAATTTCACCCCCCAGTTTCACTACCCTTAGGCTATACATTTCCAAAAATCGCTTATCAATGTTCAAATGTGCCACATCTGTGCAAAAGTTCATACTCCTAGTAGGTACAGATTTTTTTGTATAATTACACCCCTTTATCTAATTACACCCCTTATGGGTCGAATTTTAAAAAATTACTTAGTAGTACTCATCTTAGAGAACGAATTAATATTCTCCGTATTTACTCCAGTTTCCTAATACTAGCACAGATAACACATAATCATACTAGTTAATTTTTTATTGGAATAGAAGTAATTTTTATTAGAAGGTACAAAAATTAAAAATCTAAAATTTTATTTTCATAGCTACGTTTTTATAGCCTTAGGATGCCTCATGTACTAACGAATACGAAATATATAATATAATCAATACATATTTCTTTAAATATCGAGAAATAAAATATGTTTTGGCAACACCGTACGAAATATCGCCGCGCGTAGTCCTCAAAATTTAAAATATTAGCATTTTCAGGCTTCGATTATGTTCAAAAGCGCCACCGTATGACAAATCACTAAAGCTTCCACACGAGAGTTCTTAAAACTATAATATTCTTTGGCCATATCCTTAGAGGAGAGAAATATTACATTCCTAAGCTGATTCTACAAGGAAAAATAGAGGGACGGCGAGGCCCAGGAAGAAAACAACATTCCTGGCTAAGAAACATACGGGATTGGTGTAACATCAGCGACGCAGCCACCATATTTCGAAGAGCCGAAAACGGCACTCTACACATTGTATGAAGAGTACAGACAATCGCCAACGTGCGGCTAAGCACAAGGCACAAGAAGAAGAAGAAGAAATGAAATAAAGGTAAATTTGATTAAGGTTTATCATACTTAAACCTTACCGTTTTTGAAATATTTTCAATTTTATGAAATTGCAGTAAAAATTTTAAGGCTTCTTTTCTTCAAGGGTATCAAAGTTTTTAGTACTAAATATTTACTGAAGATTATTTATTGATCAGATATTGTGTTTCAATAATAAAAATTTTATTACTTTATACAGAGTATCCAAAAATGTATATTAAATAATTGCTAGGTTTAAACGACAATAACTTGTTTAATTCAATCAACACCCTGTATATTTTACGTAAATCAGATGCACAATTTAAATGTCTATCAAATTGTGTTAAACCATTTTTTACCTATATCTTCAGGTTTTCGTAAAAATGTATTTTCTTATAATTTAGACATCATTTGTAACTATACCCATGGAATATTGACATTTTAGATTTTTTTAAAGCAACATATATGTACAAAATGTACAGGTGGTAAATTAATAATATTGCAAGCCCATTATTTGTAAACACAAAAATCTATTTCCGACCAAGAATTAGTTAGTTACATACCTACTTAATTGTTTTAATTAATAAATTATTCTAAATAAATGTGGATATGGCTCAGAAATTAATATAATAATATGTTATGAAAATGAACGTCTCTGTTGATATAAATAAGCATTCGTCAGAAAATGAAATAAAACTTATAAGGTGTTACTTTTTACTATACTGTCTAATACACATACAAAATTCAGTTTTTTAGTATTTGGAGCAATTATTATTAATCAACGTAAACAGTCAATTAATGTAGTTTGAATACAGGAATCATATTAATTAGTCATCTTTAACAAAAAATATTTAAACAGTTTTTTTTTAATAAAATAAGCGAACTATTTCGACAATATTAGTATTGTACTCTGAAAATTTGTTAAATCTTTAAAAATAATCTAAAATGTCAATATTCCATGGGTACAGTGATAAATGAGGTCTAAATTATAAGAAAATGCATTTTCTACGAAAACTTGTAGGGACAGGTAAAAAATGGTATAATTCAATTTGATAGACAATTAAATTGTGCATCTGATTCACGTAAAATATACAGGGTGTTCCATTTAAATTAAACAAGTTATTGCCGTTTAAAGCTAGTAATTATTTAATATAAATTGGACACTCTGTATAAGGTAGTTAAATTTTTATTATTGCAAAATTGCATTTCTGATCAATAAATAATCTTCAGTAAATATTTAGTGTAAAAAACTTTGGTAACCTTGGAGAAATGAAGCCTTAAAATGTTTACTGCAATTTCATAAAATTGAAAATATTTCAAAAACGGTAAGGTTTAAGTGTGATAAATCTTAATCAAATTTACCTTTATTTCAATCGTAGAATCTAAAAATCTAAAAATAGAATAATATACAGGGTGTTCCATTTAAAAAAATACAACTATAATATTTTTTACTTATTTGGGACACTCTGTATCTTGTAAAAATATTTTTAAATTGTAGCTCTAATAGTCCTTCAACGAGCCCAAAACTTAAAATATGTAAAGATCTAATCGTTTAGCTACAATACTCAAGATAATCTATTTTGTTTGGTACTACTATATATTTTTATTTTATTATTAACTTACTTATTGTATAGTACAATGTCGGGCAACCATATATGTTCTGATGGCACGTGCAACGTCTCGACCCCACCATAGTCATCGGGATTCCATTTCAGTTTATAGTCGTTCCATTCCTGTTTTATAATATACTCTATTAATATTTTGTGTTTTGATATACCTGTATATTTTTCATATACAGGGTGCTACAAATTTGAGGTACGAGCAGTGGTATCTAGTTAACCGTAATACATACGAACATGGTTAAATTGGGGCAAAGTTGTGCTTTGGGATGTTCACCGAGATGACATCAAAAAAGTTTTAAAAATTTCATGGAGTTTTTTGGAAAAAAAGAATTATTTTGAAAATCAATTTTATTTTTTCCTATCGTTACTTTTTAGAAAATCAAAAAACTAATAGCATATTCTCATAGCCACTTTATTAGAGCTATCTGACAGTAATTTTAGATTTTCAAATCAACTGATAATTTGTGAGAGACAGAGTCCAACTTAATTTTTTTACATTACTTACGTCCTTTGTAAAAGTGAAATCAATACTTAAATATACAATACAATAAATTATTATTTTTATGATTAGTACAAAATGCATTTGGAAGTATAAGAAGATATGTTTAAAAAAATATGAATAAAATTGAACGAAAAATAAATGTGTACAATAGGGAGGGTAGTAATCCTTTCGAACATGTAAAGCATTAGAAACTAGTTTGTAGAAGTTGATTTATTTATAATAACTACGATTAATACGCAGTAGCGTAACTTCAAATGTGATGTCACCGCAAGATTTTTTTGGGGCTCTTATATTAAAATAAAAAAAAAATAAAAAACATAATATAGCTTTGTGTAGGTATATCAAGTCAATGTTTAAAATATAAAAACAAAAAATAAATTTATTCCACATAAGAAAAAATAATAATAAAGGAACATAAAAAATAATGCATTACAAAATAAATCAACATAAAACAAAACAGGTACTAAAAGAACTCAAACTAAATAATAAAAATAAATATATAGACTTTTAGACTTTTTCTTATAAAGATATAGACTTTTTCTAATAAAAATATGATTGAAATTAAAATAAATTAATAGGAACAAATAAAATGTAAAAAAGGAACAAATAAAAATAAGGATTGAAAATCAGGTAAAAAGTTTAAACAAAACTTTTTATCCTTGCTTTAAAATTGGCAAAGGCGTTAATCAAATCTTTAACGATCATTTTTTTGGCTCAAATTAAAACATACTACATTATTAAGGTAAAAATGTAGCTTAAAAATTAAAGCAAGTCCAAAATATTTTTAATTTTTTCCCTTTTATTTTTGGAAATTGTAGGGGACGCTGTTCACATATATACGTATTTAGTAAATAAAATTGGAGGCCCTTGCGGGGCCCCCATATCACGAGGCCCACCCGCAGCCGCCGTTGCGGGGCGTACGCTATGCTACTGATTAATGCGATGCATATTATTAGATCATACACAGATTTCAAATTCACAATAAAAAAATAATACCTTTGAACTGCTGACATGGATATTATTTATTTGAATCTTTCAATTGGCTCGATTTTCCTAATTCAATGTTAATTTAATAATTTAAAAAAACTGAGTCGGACTTGAAATTATTTTAAATAATAATTAAATAGTTTTGTTGTTGTTAAGGTACCAAAAACAAAGAAAAATATAAAGTGTGGCACATCATTGCACTCGGGAGACCAAGTTCTTTCAAAACATGAAATAGAAATAAAAAATGCAGGTCCATATTTAAAAAAAAATAATTTGGCCTCTGTATCTCACAAATTATCAGCTAATTTGAAAATATAAAAATACTCTCAGATAGCCCAAATAAAGTGGCTAAGAGAATGTGCAATTATACTTTTTTGATTTTCTAAAAAGTAACGACAGGAAAAAATAAAATTGATTTTCCAAAAAATCCGTTTTTTCCAAAAAACTCAGCAATCCTTGACATTTTTAAAACTTTTTTGATGGCATCTTGGTGAACATCCGAAGGCGCAATTTTGCCCCAATTTAACCATCGTCGTATCTATTACGGTTTCTGAGATACCAATGTTCGTACCCTCAATTGTATTTTATTATAAGTTATAAGTTTTAACATATTTTTGTTCTAAAATCAAATTTTTATTTTAACGTGTCTTTATAGTAGGTATTAGTAAATTTACAATATATTTATTATTCATCGAGATTTCTTTAATTAATTAATTATTTTTTTTTATTAATTTTTTTTATCCTATAATGTTTTTTTTTCAAAGGCACGAATCAAAGAATATAATACAAGAAAAATGAAAAAACACATTCTTTGTTCGTTTCACAACTTACATCTATTATACAGGGTGATCAGAATTGTTTTCGGTAGCATCAGGGGTGGATGGGGAAGTGGAAACCGGCCCGGGAAAAACAAGCATCCGGCCCAAACCCACAAAAACAAAATGACCATATAATATAATATATAAGTAAGGGTGTTTTTCGCTCGTGCGAAAAAGTTTTTTACCTTTCGCGAAAAAGCTCTTTCGGTTTAAAAAAAATAAATTATCTTGATCAAAATTTTCATAAAGATCATTATTGGGTCGGACATCTGACATTTTTACTACAAAATGGCTCAGTTTTGCAGAGTTCTACTGTTTTATTTCCATTATCGATAACGGTAATTTGATTTTGAATAGGCTACGATTTTGAGTCACGATTTTGAGAAACTTTATAACTTCCTGATTCATTCAGTTCAGCTGACCCAATCCTCTGTAAAATACATTATTTTTAGCTGTTCAGGTATATACTTTCTTACAAATTGTAGAAAGAAATTCCCTCTTTTCTGGTACAGCAGCAGCCTCGTCCTGTATACGTGTTTTTAACTGAATGAACCGCGGTCGCCATTAAAACTGCTGCATTTTTTTAAGTTATTTTAAGTTATTATATAGTTGTTATCACGAAACTTTTCCTCTTACTTTTCTACATTACTCAAACGAAAAAAACCTAGGCAAGACTCTAGCTGGTATGTTACAGTCCATAATAATAATATTTGGATTTTCGAGACATATTAATATTTTATTATCTAATCTAGTTTAAACCTTATTTATCATCTGCTGTCTCAGCAATTTTTAGTAAATTCATTTTAGCAAGATTTTAAACAACAATTTAGACTTGGCTTTTAGTTCGTCCCCAATTCAAACCAAGCATAGAGCCAAGCAATTCAAACCAAGCCTGTATATTGCCAGATTTTCCTGTATATTTTAGAAAACTTTTTAGAAGTTCCTGTTCACCGCAAATTTTCCCACGGTATAGTTTCTTAATCTCTGATATTACGGCACTAAAAGAGATGCAAATACCGAAAAATTGAGATGGCTCAAATTTTTTTAAAAATAAATCTATTTTTTTAATTTCCAAACTTTAATAACTCGATTGGGGACTTATTTGAAACACGGTAAAGAGAATATATTATGTTTCTTTTATTGAGATCTACCAGCCCTGAAAATATTTGCACTTATAGACTCACCTTGAATAGTAAAAATTTTCAAACCGAACAGACAACAGATGTTTATTAAAATTATAAGTGTCCCAGGGAAAGGCATCTTACAATAGTTATTTTTTACAAATTGGTGTTTATGTTTAAAGACAACTGACGATTATACTGATGCAAATTGATTAGTGAGTTATGGAGTCACTAAGAATCTTACGTCACTTTAGTTACAAGATTAACCATTTAATTTTCGCTAATCCAATCTTTTTTTGAGCTCTGATCGGGACCAGCCTACCGGCCCACCGGGAATTTTCCCATTTTCCCATATGGCCCATCCACCCCTGGGCAGCATATTCTGCTGATAAAATTATGTAAAAAAAATCTTTTAAATCTATGTCCTAGAATGCATCGTTTCGGAGATATTGATAAATATAATAATAAATGCGGGAAGCTTAAAAGTAAGAAATAGTTCTTTTCTATATTTTTTGGTATGTGGTGTTTTGTTCTTGTTTGTTTTGTATTAACGCCATATCGTTTTTTTAATAAAATAACTCGATTAGATGTTTTCAGTTTTATACATTCTGCTGATAAAATTATGTAAAAAAAATCTTTTAAATCTATGTCCTAGAATGCATCGTTTCGGAGATACAGAGTGTAGAAGTTTCATTTTTATCTCGATTTTTTGCAGATAATTTTTGAACTAACGTGGATATTTTGTGAAAATTGGTGTCTGGGAGATTTTTTTACATGAGAAATCTGATATCGATGTCAATATGACTCCTGCTTGTAGGGAGCCAAACCAAACCCCCTACGTACATTTTAACTGTTTTGGAGAGTAATAACTTTTCATCTGTGCCTAGATTACCTTTATACATACTTTTAGCATCATTTCTTCGAAGAACAATTTATGATTAATTTAAAAAAATAAAAAGTTTCCAAATTTATCATTTCATTCCAGTAACTCAACATGTTTATTTTTTGTCAATAATATCATGTATTGACTATTTCCATCCTAATATCTTGAGAACGGTTGCTCGTAGCGATTTTTACCAAGAGACATTTTTTTACGTAAAATGTCACGGAAATGTTCATTTTTTCACACAGTAGTTTTATACAGGTATTAGTTATTAGGAACAGTCATTATTATTCAAAACAGTGAAAACATATATGTAGGTGGCGCCTCCTACAAATAGGGGTCATATTGATAGCAAAATAAAAACACTAAATCACCACAATACACCAAAACACTTTTACTTTTACACTGGACGCGCGTTTCGCTAACCATGTTAGCATCATCAGCAGATGATTATAAACTAAAGTACAATCTACAAGTTGAGCGTTTATATACTCGCCCAGTGGGCACCGAGTGGGCGTGGCAAAAACTAGCCAACCGAGTCAGAGCCAAATGAGTGTAACAGTTAGATTTCCGCCACTAGAGTAGTAGGAACAAAGAACTTGAAGGAATTGGACCGTTGTCTCTGTTCATACTATCTTTACATTTATTAATTCTGATGCTTTCATATGCATCTAATTGCCTGTAATTTGAGACTTGTTTAATTAATTTTAAATTATTAAGATCTATACAATGTTCTTTATCAACAATATGTTCGGCAACGCAAGATTTATCCGGTCTACCATATCTTATCTGAGCTAAATGTTCTTTAAATCTAGTTAATATTGATCTTCTAGTTTGCCCAACATATTTCTATCAATTCAAATATCATATTGATATCAAAATTCTATTCACTATTCAATCATATTGATATCAAAATCAAATTTCTCATGTCGGACCACCCTGTATATCCAATGTATAGGAACGAGCAGTGTCGTTGAGAATTTCAGAGTTTTTTCAATACGATTTAATAGCCGTGGTACTTAGGGCTTCATATAGGTATGTTGTTGGTTAGGGAACTTTTTACAAATTAAACATGACAAATCGATTTTTTTGGAAGTTAGAACATTATATATATATTTACTTCAAATCTTCAATTAATAAGTAACAATTTAATTTAAATTCCTAAGTATTTTTTATGACGTTATGATTTTTAATTAAGAAATATAACTATATTAAATACAATGTTATAGCTTACCTGTTCAACCCAGACGTTCGTAGTCATGATTTGATTTTTTAAATTCTGGAAATATAATAATTACGTTGAGTATTTCATTATGTCAAGTAAATTACGAGAATCAAGATCAAAGAGAGCTCTGAAAACTTTCAAGTGTAGCCGGCTTTGACGTTGATGTGATACGTTGAATGGAATACTTTCTTAAAAGTGAGAAATTAGATATTTGGTTGTTTGATATAAAACGTTTCTATATATTTAACGTTTTTAGGATTATTTAGTTTTTAATTAAGTTTATTTGTTGAAAATTTTACGCTATACAGTATGTCCCCGGATTGTTTTATAAGAGGAAAAACTTTTCTCTTCTTTGGTAAACTCTTGTCTAAAAATGGTATTCCATAAATAATTAATTGAATAATTATGTCGATCGTGACCATACTGTATTTTAAAGGCTTGAAATAATAACTAGAGATTTATGCGAATAAATTAACTTTATATCATAATTCTACTCACCACGTCTATCAGTTGCGACAGTTTCAGGCCCATTTTCACAGTCAGTCGGTCAGAATTATTGCCAACAGGTCGGATAAGTCTGTTGTAATTACTGAGCAAATCATCGTACAATCTTTTCGCATCTGGATTCGCGTCTGTATAACTTACCAGACCGGCTGCCAAAATCAATAGGGTCTCGAAAAAGAACTCCATTGAGTTATCTGGAACGAAAAAGTTTAAAAATCAATATCGGTTTATTTTCAAATACTACATTCTTAAAACTAAAACTAGTTTAGTATCCCAAACTTCTTTTAATTTGAAATAAAACTGTTTCGTCCAACTTCTATTATCTTTATTTGTTTTAACATACACAACATACAACTACCATATTTCGAACATATACAGGGTGGTCTGAACTTTCTGAATTAACGTCAATATTTGGATGAAAATTGGTGTCTGAGAGTTTTTGGACAAAAGAAGGAGGGCACTATAACCAAAGCTATAACCTATGGCTATAACTATGTTTTTTTTTTCTCAGGTAAGATTTCGACAGACGATGACAGAAGAAAAGCAGATGACGTGCATACCAATCTATTTATTTTATTAAAAATAGTTTCTATTATTTTTTAAGTTAACTATGGATGGGTTTAAATATAAATCCGCCATGCGTCGTCTCTTGTTGTTTTAAACCAGTTTCATTGGTTTATTTCAAAAATGACAGATCGTATTTCAATTTTATTGTTTTGACGGAACGATGAACGCTAAACGGACGCCGCGCGCCGATGCGTATGAACTCGCTTTTAGATTTTTGAAGCTTGTCAAAGTCTTGCCAAATTATAGGTTATAATTTTGTGTCAACTTTTGTCAAATACCCTGCGTTTTGGAAGATGATGCGTTCTGATTCGTGTTATTATGTGTATTTTGTGTCTTTTGAAATCAAGTGGAGGAAAATCCAGGGAAAATTAACTGTTTAGAGCACAGTTTATAGTTAATACTCGGTGCCCAGGCAGAACGTCTTATACACCAATAAAGTTACAATCAATAAAGTTTGTATACCATCTCGTCACAGATAAGTGCATCTCGTATATGGTACAAGGATCGTACTAAACATATATACTAGAAACTGGAGTAGCTGTAAAATAACGACATCACACGATAGGTAAATAATGGATTTTAGCACTGCAAAAAAATAATGTGAAAAGGTACTGGTTTAAAAAAGATTAAAGTTACCTAATTAATCAACCTTTAAGATATAAAATTCGGTAAGTGTTATTATTAATAAAATAGTTTGTTTTATTTATGTTGTTTTATTTATTCCTGTGTAATATTACAAATTTGTATTTGTACATAAGTGATATTGATAAATATAATAATAAATGCGGGAAGCTTAAAAGTAAGAAATAGTTCTTTTCTATATTTTTTGGTATGTGGTGTTTTGTTCTTGTTTGTTTTGTATTAACGCCATATCGTTTTTTTAATAAAATAACTCGATTAGATGTTTTCAGTTTTATACAGTTTTTATGGCAATATTTTAAAGTAATCACTTATCACTCAAATTTTAAATATATTAATTTCCTGCTATGCGTTCCAGTTGTACCAACTTATTTCTTTGAAAAATAAAATAAACTACTTTGAAATTAAAATGACAGACACATCACTGTCAAGGATCTTGTCGCTTGTCATTGGACAAAGCTTTGGACAGACTATACCTACATGTGGTTTAATTGTTTTGAAAAGTAATAACTTTTCGTCCGTACCTGTATAAAACTACTGAGTGAAGAAATACACATTTCCGTGATTTTTTACGTAAAAATGTTTCTTGGTAAAAATCGCTACGGGCAATCTATCTCAAAAACACGCAGAGTTGTGATAAAAATAAAATGGTCACCTCTAATTTTTTCGGAAAAAAATTAACAACAAAATCTACGACTAAAATCATAAAAATAAAAACTATCAATTTATAGGAAACTACACGAGCTACAAATTAACCTCTATAGTTGAACAGTCTTGAACTCTTCATTTTTAGGAATTTTTTGGGTTTGAAGGGTTCAAAGAAGGCGGTCCTTACACGCAGGTCAAACTAAAAAAACGTAATATTTCCGAAATAAAAAGCTCTACAAACAAATTGAAAGATAGCAAAAATTTTGCAAGAAAAAAAACCTTCAATTTTACTCTGTTGCATTTTTTACGTATCTTGCTTAGTTTTTGAGATACGCCAGAAAAATTAAATTTTTTTTAAAAATGAAAAAATAAAATTTTGATTATTTTTAACTTTTCTATTCTAAACCGCTCGAACTTGCAAAAGCCATTGTTAGTACCACTGTTCGGTTTTTATATGATTCAAAATAAAAAATATATAAATTGTAAAATTAGTAATTTTTTAATGGCCATAATGGCGTTCTTTCAAAATCATCGAACAACTAAATCATTTCCATAGATCCAGTGACGTACCGTGACTTTGAATTTTGAGACCAAAAACTGACAAATAATTTGTTATATATATAATGTTTTATTTTGCATAAAAATGTTAACTAATACGTTAGAATATATATATTTCTTTCCTAACTAAGTGGTTTTATCGCTAAATTTAACTAAAGCTAAGTACAACACAAATCTTAAATACGTGGACTATTATAACAACAAATACATCGTAAAAGACTATTTTGGTAGCATTCTGAACGAGGATTCAAGTTAAACTTTTTAGAAAATAATTTAAAGGAAAAATGAACCTGCTCAGATGCTTGTTCCGAGTAAAATCCTAGAGCTCTATGATTTGCTTTTATAAACTCTGGCACATGATGCAGAATTGCATGAATCTTTGGAGTTATCTTAATACCTAAGTTGAGTATTTCCAATCTAAATTGTTCGATGTCATATTCAAAATGTTTGTTTAGTGCTTGACCAAAACAACTCGAAACTACTTGATTGAATGCAGAAAACACTGCAATATATTTATTTCCTAAAAATAAGATGTTTAGGTTTTTGCTTGTATAACTTTGAATAGGATTCTTTACCGGGCGATATCGTCTTCAAAATATCCACTTTCTTTAAAAGTTGTCTGGCGTTATTTCCGTTACATTCTCCATAATGACCTAGTTTCAATCCCGCTTTTTTTATTCATTCTGTTGCAACATTGGTATTCTCCAATTCAAGACAATCAAATAGTTTTTGAACGACACCTAACAAAAGGTGAAGCTCAGGAGGGGGAATCTACTTTAAGACAGGTGTTTCTTCGTCGCCAATGATTAAAGGTATGTTTATACAGTTTTCTAAAAAATAATTGCCCTTTTTTTATATGGTTCATTGAACAACAGTTTAAAAAATACAAAAAAAAAATATTTCGAACAAAAACGCTTACTAAAATCTTTGGCTTTTGTTATTATTTCCTCCAGATTGTTGCTATAAATTTGTATTTTCTGTAATACTATTTATAGTTCTGAATGATCCTTTAATTTCCATTTTCTTTACATTTACATCATACCATGGGCAAGTGTGAGTGGATGAATTTGAGTGAAGACCAAGGAGAATCATAATAAGCTTAAAGTCAGCGGCTAAAGTATAGGAACAAATTCCACATATGGACTGCAGATCTAACGTCTCAAAGAGGCTTTTAATGTTAGCATAAATTCAGACAACTTTGATCTTAAGCCAATTATGAATAGTTTATTAATTCCAGCACTTTTATATTTCTTGAAATATTCGAGATCATCTTCAGGGAGCACATTCAGACAAACTTTAAGTGATCCACCACCAGTATCAATTCCAATTTTTACATGAAAATCTTCAGATAATTCTCTAATTTCCAAAATATATGATAGAAGACCATATAAATCTGAGCAGTATACAAAAATTAATATTAACTGAATTAACATTTTTCCTTTAAATTATTTTCTAAAAAGTTTAACTTGAATTCTCGTTCAGAATGCTACCAAAATAGTCTTTTACGATGTATTTGTTGTTATAATGGTCCACGTATTTAAGATTTGTGTTGTACTTAGCTTTAGTTAAATTTAGCGCTAAAACCACTTAGTTAGGGAAGAATTATAATTATTCTAACTTATTAGTTAATATTTTTATGCAAAATGAAACATATAGCTGTAATATGATTTTTTTGACAAATTATTGTTTCAGTTTTTGGTCTCAAAATTCAAAGTCACGGATCAAATTCACTGGATCTATGGAAATGATTTAGTTGTTCGATGATTTTGAAAGAACGCCATTATGGCCATTAAAAAATTACTAATTTTACAATTTATATATTTTTTATTTTGAATCATATAAAAACCGAACAGTGGTACCTAAATAGAGCCAACTGTTCATGTATTACGCTTAGTTTTTATTTTTATGATTTTAGTCAGATCTTGTTTCATAGGGTTTTTTTTTTCGAAAAAATGAGGTGACCATTTTATTTTTATTATAACTCCGGGAGTTATCGAGTTACGAGCTTTTTTAAAAAAGCATTTAAAAGGTCTATTCAAGCACTTTATTTAGCAGGTTATATTCATTTTCTTCGAAGAATGTGTCCTTTCGCCATTATTTTACGGTAAAATGTTGCAATTTAGTTTTCGAAAAATAAAAAATTACCTTTACAAAGTGATAACTCCGCTATTATTACACTTACAGTAATCAACAAAAAATGAGGCGTTTAGTTATTCCAAAAGCTTCATTTTTGCTTTATACAAGTTTGGCGATCAAATGCAAGGTTTTCGAAAATAAAAAATCGCAGAAATATACAGGATGGCGCCTCTCATACGCCGCGGAATTTCCAAGAAGAACGGTAGTTTATATTGAAATGAAATTTTGGCAGCATATATGGGTTAACTGAAAGCGTTTTATAAAAATATATAGAATTATACAGGGTATCCCCAAAAAAAGTTACACATCAAAGTTGTGTTTTTTCTAATGGAACACCCTATATATTAATTGATTTTCGGATTCTAGAAAAAAAATAAAGGTGAGTTTTATTTAAGAAGCATATACTTAAAATCTAAGGATTTTGACATATTTCACATTTTGTGAAAATAAAGAGTAAATTTTAAATTTCCATAACAGCTACCTAAATTTTAGTTGACCTTGTATAGCCTGATTTTGAACTAAAGTAACCATTGTATGTTAAACCAAATTGGAATTTGACTTGAAAAGTTATACAGGGTGAGACAAAATTATTATGGAACATTCGTCACTTTTAAAAGCAAGTTACTCCTTTATTTTAAACGGAACG